TATTGTATTTGACGGCATTTTGTCGATTTTTTACTAACCGCCATATTCAAGAAGAGTGGACCAAAGGATATATGGGCGGCGTAACTTTGGGCTACTACAATGGTATTCGATATTCCGAAAAGTGTGAAAGTTGACTGACATAAAATTGAGAACACAAAATAAATTTTGCCAGATAGTGTTTTACGGTTGTTGTTAACTTGCCATAGCCCATGCCATTTCAAAAAGAATGTTGTCATTCTTATAAACTGTGAATCGTCCATGACGATGTTTCTGTCTGATACTGTACTTAAATTATTTTAAGCAAAAATATCTGATATGCATGAATGCGGGATTTTGGTAAACACTCATACTATAATTTCATAATTTGATTCATTAATCATTTACTGCAGTCGTTAACTTGCCTCTTATAAACTATGAATTATCCATGATGCTGTCCTCTCTGATACTGTATACCGGGTGTGTCTCAAAAGTGGCTCACCCCTGTTATTTTTTCAGATAAAAAAACGAGATTTGGTATGTTGGTATATAACATAAATAATTATGATTGATTGACATATTTAATTGTTTAACTTTTGTTAACTTTTGGTTTTTAAATGGTACCCTCGGTATTTTTTTACTTTGTTCGATCGAAAATGACATTCTGAATAGAATGACATATCATATGTCAACTTTATGACATTCTCGCTTAATAAAAAATCGTATTTTAAATTTAAATCTAGAGTGGCTGTTCTTAATCAAGGAGCCTTGGAGAAATAGATTTGATCGTCTAATGTTTTTAGTGTCTTCTCCTGGCCAGATAGAAAATGCTCAAATCGTATTTTTAGTCATATTTCAATTATTTGAAATGGAACGAGGGTTCATTAGCCTATTTGGAAAAAGGATTTTTTTACGAATATAATTTGATACCACACACCTGGTATTTCGAGTCAAATTGTCGTTATATGAACCACAGGTTACAATTTCAAATAAACTATATGCGAAAATGTCAAAAGTTGACATATGATATGCCATTCTATTCAGAGTGGTATTTTTATAAAGTAAAAAAATGCCGAGGGTGCTATTTAGAAATCAAAAGTTGTAGTCATTTCTGGTAAAACAGGAAGTGACCGAAAACAATTGAATACGTTAATCAATCCTAATTATTTATGTCTTTATTATTATGTGTTTGTATATACCAGATTTCGTTTTTTTTATCTGAAAAGATAAAAAAGTTATAGAGATGAGCTACTTTTGAGACGTACCCGGTATTTAAAGGTCATATTGAAGAAGACGTTGCGTCTCTATCGAAGTATATATATATATATATAAAAAAATTTACGCGTCGTAATTGATTGTAAAATTTTAAAATTTAAAATTCGAAAATTTTAAATTGGGTGAGACACTTAAAATGATTCTGGAACAATTAATTTTTAAATCCACTGTATATCAAAAACATTGCATATAAACAACATATTTTTGAAATTAGCTAAAATATGTCTACCGGACCATGCTAAAACATGTAAGGGTTTCCATTTAAAAAAATCAAGATGGCGCCGTATCTGTCAAAATTGACGTTTTAAAAAATTTTGATGTAGAAAATCGGCATACTCGCAAAAAATCACGTTAAAATATCTTTTTACTATCTTAAAAGAGAAAAGAGGAAAATTTTAAATTGGGTGAGACACTTAAAATGATTCTGGAACAATTCATTTTTAATTCCACTGTATATCGAAAACGGTAACTGCAAAGTATACTAAACTATATATTTTTGAAATTAGCTAAAATATGTCTACCGGACCATGCTAAAACATGTCGGGGTTTCCATTAAAAAAAAATCAAGATGGCGTCGTATCTGACAAAATTGACGTTTTAAAAATTTTAATGTAGAGAATCGGCATCCTCGCGAAAAATTACATTAGAAAATCTTTCTACTATCTTTAAATACACTTAAAATGATGTCCCTGTACGTCCCTGGTGAATATGTCGACACTTTTTTAGCATTAAAATATGTAGTACTTATAGCACAGATTATACAGATTATAATCTTTGTTTTTTCTTTATTGTTTTTCATGGTTCCAATTTTCGGTATCGGGCACTAGTTAGGTGACTAGTTTGCGCACATAGCACGCCCACTTATGGCCTCTAAAATTGTGCACAGCGCCTGACCGGCACAGTTTTTAGAGAGATATCGGAAAACCGAATAGCGTCATCCAGTATTTACGCGTACCTTATCATGGTTACGATATGCGCGAGTCAACGCAACACCCGCTAATAACGTTACCACCTGACGTAATTTGCAGATCAGTTACACCAAGCGCTCTTTCTAAATAACCTCTGATAACGTTTAAAAATTGCTTAAATGGGCATGTGCGGGTATTTGACAACCGGAGCCGACCGGCGAGATCTTTTATTTTATGTTATGTTTGAATTGTTTTGAATTATTGCTTTAGTTTTATTAGGTAATTTGATATTTAAGTAGCTGGGATTAGTTTTAATTAAATAAATATGGCCTAAAATGTGGATTCCACCTCTTCCAATACTAAAGAACCTATAAAGAGTCTTAGGTTTACAGCAGATGACGACTTAGCCCTTCTAAGAGAATTTGTTGCTTGTTGTCCTAAACCCATTGGCAGACGTTGAATAATAAAGCACTGGAAATAAGCACTTTAGCCCTTTAGTTTTAAAATACCTAGTAAACAAAACAATTTCTAAGTTTTAAATTCAAAGTTAGGTTAAGTTTAAATAGCGGACGCGACGCGATCAGAATTCTTTCCGATCCGATAACTATAAATGAAGAGAGTTACCACCTGGCCTTATTAACGTCCATGCACGCTATTCGGTTTAACGATATCTCTCTATTACGCTGTTTATTGTTATTTTACGCGAGTTTATTTTTGCGCACAGGAAATTTGACTCGTTTGCACATCGTCATAAAAAACAATTTTCGTACCACGAATTAGGGACAAGATTTTTATCTGTATACTTATAGGATACCTAATCTGTGCTTATAGTAACTTATATTCTCAAAATTTCATTCGAATCTCTAAAAACACTTCGAAGAAAATTATAATAAATCGAAAAAAGATGAAGACTTTAACCCCCTGTAGGTACGAAACAAAGCAAAATCATGTTAATATGAAAAATAAATCATGGCACTTGTTTTTTGAAACACCCTGTATATCAGATATGGAAGTATGTTGGATTTTGGTTAAATGCTAGAGCTGTAATTTCATAATTCGATTTATGAATATTTTACATATCTTGTTAACTGGCTTGCTTATTTCCTGGACTAATTACGATAGGTCTTATTGGAAAATTTGCAATTGAAATTATTATAGGAACTATATAACAGATGCAAAATTTTAGTTTGCCCACCTTGCGTTTAAACCCATCATTACCGCTTGCTCGTTTATTTCTTTAAAATTTAAAAGGAAATTATGACGTGTACCAAAATCGTGTAGATCGAACTATAAAGATTTTCCTGTAGCTTTAAAAAAGACCATAGTATTATAACAATTTTAATGAATAAAATAAAAAGAAATTAGAGAAAGACAATATGAACGAGAAAAAAATGGCGTCAGCCGTGGCTATGAAATGAAACTCGCTGTTATTTTATATTATGTAAAATTATATAGGGAATATCATCGATCCTTATTTCTAAGCCAACAGGACGCCGTTTTTTTTTCGAGCATACGCTATAACTCTTTCTATAATTAAAATATGTTTTTTTTTTCACATCAGCTTTGCTATATGTTTGGGAATAATCATTAAATATAGTCTGTCCAACGAAAGGATACATGACAGTTCTGTGCATTTTAATTTACGAGTGTATTTTCTATCATTTTTTGGATGTCTGTCGAAATCTTGTATGACTTTACCTCACAACAATTTTGTAAAATTAAACTATACTTGTATTTTTTTAGTGTAGGCAAATTAACAGTAGAATGAAGAATGTTTAGGTAGGGGGTTAATCACCGCGACCTGACTGATCTATTGTGTGTTCCCCTTTCTTAAGTTATAACGGGTTATAACTCATCATACAGTCTCAGGGCTTTGATAAAAGCCAGTATCTGAGACGGTTCCACAGAGGCCAGCTCTCCGTCTGTGACATCAGCCGTAGCAAAGCTTATGGCATGAACGGTTGTCGTCTCGGCGATAAGGTGTTCTGGTGTTTCCCCATTTTCCCCACAGAATCTGCATTTGCCGTTGTTTTTCAGCTTCAATCTACTGAGGTGTTCGTTGAGGAGACAGTATCCTGTTAGAAACCCCGTGACAATCCGAAGATTGTTTTTTACATAAATCAAAGGAAATCTTTTATTTTTCTCAGTTGTAAGTTCTGAGGAACTTTTTCGGGTGTCCCAGACCATTAGAGGATTCCCATTCCAGGTTACGGATGGAGTCCTTCAGGCTCCTGGATGGAGTCCTTCAGGCTCCTCAGTTCCGCTTTAAGTTGGTTTCCGCTTGGAAAGCAGAACGAGTCTGGTCCATTTAGTGGAGTGTTCGCTCCTTTTCTAAATAGATCGTTTGCTTTTTCATTGCCTTCTATCTCTTGGTGTGCGGGCACCCAGAGTAGGAGGACTTTATTTTCTTGGCCTAATTTGTTCAGCTTCTCTAGGCATTCTTTGACTAACTTCGAATTGATGGTTACGAAGCGATCAACTCAGCTTTTAGTGCTGCTTGACTATCGGTTAAGATGGCTATTTCCAGTTTTAGATAGTTTCTATCTTAATTCAAATTACAGTTTTGTTATAGAATTGAACATCCCGTGGGTTCTTTGGACTCTCTTCCGTTTTAGTTCAGTTCAGGAAAACGTCCGTATTTTCGTTTACACGCAATGTTTTGATCCGTTTTGACTGAACAGGCAAGATGTATAAGGTAAAACTGACAGTGTAGACTCGGCTCCAAAACGAGAAAACGTTCAATATTTTGGGATAAACCAAGTGCTTTTTTTTGGGGATAAAAAAGTCCTTGTAATAATATAAAAACAATTTAAAAGGTATAAACAAAAAAAATCATTTATTAAAAAGTAATTTTCTTTATTTCTCTGACAAACCACAAGTTAAAACATTGGTAAAAATTGCAAATGTATAAATTATCTCTATTTACATTTTTCCTTTGGTCCTAAAAGTTAAGTACTTTCCTTATTACATAACATTCTTCTTTACATTGGAAGAACCTCATCGTTATTTAGTTAAAAAGGCCATTAGAAATTGTTTCAATAATCTACATTATTTTCTTATCACAATAGAATAATGTTCAACGTTCAAAAGAGGACATTTGAACTACTGATCACACATCATAAAATTTACATTAACATTATATTTAAAATATCTCATTACGTGGACGGGAATATCATAAGACTATAAGTTAATATAATTAAGTACATTTACCCTACTTAAAATACTATAGACAAAAATATTCTAAAACCTATTAAATAATATCAGTCAGAAAATTAGTATGGGAAAAAGAAAATTTACGTTGTATAAAAAAATACAATAAATTAAGTAAAAAGTGAGGAAAAATAAATTAATATGACAAAAAAAGGTTAAAAGTTATAATATCATGGTATGCAATATTAGAGACGGTTTCATTGGAGAAAGTAAAATATTTATAATCATTTTTTTGCCGTCATTCGCAAAAATTATAAAGTACAGTACTGGTAAAAAATAAGGAACTAGGCCATCAAGTTATTTTATTTTTTCGATTAATCCAAAAAGGGTATCATTTTAATCAAATTAATCGTTCCTCAGGAGGCGGTTTCAGAACATGATCTAATTCTACCCTTGGATTGCAAAATTCTTGGGCAGAAGGACTGTAAGTGCCTCTTGTAGCTCTTTTACTGCGGGCTACGTTCACCATACCGCCATTCCTATCAAAAATGCAGTAAGCAGAATAAGAACAATTGGAACGATGATATACAGTATGTTAATTCCGCTATCTGCTTGGCTTAAAGCAACCTAAAAAATATAAAATAGTTTAAAAATCTGTTTATTAAGAGCTATACCCTGCTGGCAACTCTTACTTTTGGGTCGGTATTTACGTATGTGTGTGGAAGTAAATCGCATAGAAATCTTATTATGTCGAAGTGAGAGAAATGAGACGGTGTGCTGTTGCGGCGTTGCCACATTTTTCCGGTACGCCTTTCTCTATCAAGTAAAGTAAAATCACGATCGCAAACCGCTTATTTTTAAAAAGACTTAAAAAGCTGCTATATCCCCTTTCACGTATCTTAGCAATGTGTACAGTTTCTCGATTTATTTTATACGTTTGGCAACGTTTTTACTATTCTCTTTGTTCAGTACATTATAAACGCATTGCACTCTTCTTACTACGTATGGAAAACTCGACCCAAAACTAACCTTTGACAGCCCTTAGAATAAGTCTGACCTTTAGATCGCTGCAGTTCTTTCCTGTCCAATTGTCTTCGCAAACGCACAAATAGTCAGGTTTGTCCGTGCACTGAGAGATACAACTACCATGAACACACGGTTTTTCGTGTTCGCATGGGTCGTCTAGGGCACAATGGTATCCGCATTTTCCACTATTTCCACATGTACACCTGAAGAAAACAAATTTAATATTAAGAAATAAATAAATAATCCGATTTAAACTAACCTGTATGTTCCAGGTAGGTTTTCACAGGTTCCTGCTTTGCCACAAGCAAAATTGTTTACTACGCATTCGTCTATGTCTAGCTCGCAAGAGTCTCCTTCATAACCTGAAAGAAACAAATAATAATTCAGATAAGCATTATTAACGCAAGTTGACATATCCCTGTATAGTTATGAGAAAAACAATCAAGTTTTGAATTAAACTTTATTGTTTTTCCTATAATTATTATACATATTATAATTATCCTTACATTGAACTGACTATAATATAGTCTAGTGAGGATCGCTGAGAGTGACAGTTCGTTGCGTCTGTCATTACGATGACAGTTACGAAGTCATCTCTAAATTCAACCAATAAAATTAATATCGTGTCATCGTTATCTATCTGACGCATGAAAATCCGCCTTTAAGCTGGATTTTGATGCATCTGGGATCCGTTGATACAATGATCCGAAAAAATCATTTTATGTTAGTTATACAGGGTGTCCGGAAATTAATGTAACAAAATTTGGTTATAGATTCTTGAAAAATAGGTGACCCGTATTTTTTATTTTTGGCGAGTGGCCCCCCTTTTCGGATTTACAGCCCCCTGAATATCGCCCCTAAAAAGAGTTTTTTTTTTAATATCTTAGGGCCCGGTTGGACGAAAATCATTAAATTTGATACACGTTGTTTTACCATAAAATGGCATTTTTTGATGCTATTAACTTTTTTTTTTATTTTCATCAGTGGCATCCCTACGGTATTTAAACTAAATATTATTGAAGAAAAAAATGGTACGCCACTGGTTTTTCCTAAAATAAAAATCCTTCTTAAAATCTACATTAAATTTGGAACAAATTTGATCTTTTGACTTTGTTTTGGTACGACGCACCGATTTCGCATAAAAAAATAAAAACCATTTTCATACATGACCAAATCGCTAAAATTTTAATGTAAATTTTCATAGCAAAATTTAAAAAAAAAGCAATTTATGTTTTTGGACATTTTGGTTCGCACTTAGGTAATAAAAACAAGATTTTGGAAAATAAAAAATTATTTTAAACTTAAGTTTGCCGTTTTAAAAATTTTGCCATTTAAATTTACGGTAAAATTTTAGCGATTTAGTCATGTATGAAAATGGTTATTATTATTGCGAAAACGGTGCGTCGTACCAAAAAAAGGTCAAGAGATCAAATTTATACCAAATTTAATGTAGATTTTAAAAATAATTTTTATTTTAGAAAAAAACAGTGGCGTACCATTTTTTTCTTCAATAATATTAAGTTGAAATACCATAGGGACGCCACTGATAAAAATAAAAAAAAGTTAATAGCATCAAAAAATGTCATTTTATGGTAAAACAACGTGTACCAAATTTAGTGATTTTCGTCCAACAGGGCCCTGAGATATTAAAAAAAACTCTTTTTAGGGGCAAAATACAGGAGGCTGTAAATCCGAAAAGGGGGGCCACTCGCCAAAAATAAAAAAATAGGTGACCCGTATTTTTTATTTTTGGAATTTTTCAAGAATCTATGACCAAATTTTGTTGCATTAATTTCCGAACAACCTGTATAAAATTTACACTATGTGTATTTTACTCACCTATGCCGGTACAATTACAGTCATAATTTGCGATACCATCAATGCACTGTCCACCATTTTCGCACGGTTTTTTACCGTTCGCAGTAACACAGTCGTCTATGTTCGTTTCGCAGTATTTCCCTTCATATCCAAGATCACAGGCACAATACGGTACCTATTTATGTAAGAAATATACATATATACAAATTTGACAGTTACCCCCTATATTACAAAAACTTACTTGACTTGTAGTATTACAAATTCCTTTTACGCATTGTTTTACTTTACAGAATGGAGTGTCACAAAGAGTTCCTTGCATGCCTTCCGTACAGAAGCAGGTAAAGTTATTACCGGTGTGCACATCTAAAAGACGAATCAAAAGCATTAGCAATAAAGTATAGACCGATTCACAAAAGAAGACAGGTTACATAATGACCAATGATGACCGTTCTGATAAATCAGGTATCTGCGATATTCAACAATATTGAACAAAAATAGATAAACATTTTAGTATTTACTTACTTGGACCAGTTTCGCACGTAGCGCCCTCTTTACAAGGCTTATTCTCGCAAGTGATCAGCAAGGGTGCTTCGCATTGCTTTCCCACGAAGCCTTCCGGACAATCGCACTTAAAATGACCAATCAAATCCTGACACGTTCCTCCGTGCTTGCACGGATCACTGTTGCATTCGTTGATGTCCACTTGGCAACTGAAAATATCAACTAGTTCGTTTGTACCATACATGCATTTGCTCATTGCATGAAAAAAGTAAGGTAGGATCTAATATTATTTATACCCTTGTATGAAAACAAATTATTGAATACATAATTAATAACAAAATAAGCTCAAAAATGCGCAACAAATCCTCAACATTTCAAATCAAACTCTTATCGCGTTTGACCTAAGTTTGTTGATATGTTCCTCCTTAATATTTTTATTCAAAGCATCTTTTACATGATTAAGCAAAAGTTTACATAATCTAGATTTTTTACTTACAATTCACCCTCGTAACCTTTGGCGCACGCGCACTCGTATTTGGCTACAAGATCTATACAAGTGGCTCCATTCTGGCACTGATTGTTTTCGCACTCGTTTATGTCGACTGAACAATCGTCCGCGTCATATCCTTTGACGCAATCACATTTATAAGTGTTGGTACCGTTGATGCACTGGCCACGATCATTACAGTCGCTGTCGTAGCATAGGATACAACCTATGTCCGGTTTGGTATTCGAATCCAGTTCAAACAGCTCGTCGTAATAAGTCTCGTTGGGATAAATTTCTTTGGTTGTGAAAAACGGTAACAGCAACTCTCCTATAAATAAATTATTTAAGCCATACATAAAAGTGCTAAATTGGGAATTCCTGTATATTAAAAACAAAGAGTTAACCAATTCAATCCTACGAGGTCAACAGGAGATGAAGCAAAAAGCTTTTAATATTTCGCCGGCTGTACTATCTTTATAGACTTGGTGCATTTCAGTTCATTTTAAAAATTCCGACCGCAGCGCTCCAACGGCAGAAATTAGAAGTGCTGTATTTCACGCAGTGCGATTACCGTTTATGTCGATCGCATTGAAATAATATTAAAATCGTGACTTTGTCATAATATTTGGAATTCTCAAAGTATTTGATTTTTTACTAGTGCAGTTATTGAAACTATAAAACACTCAGGTACGAAGTTTGTGTGATGTAACGCTGTTTTGGGTAGTAAAAAATAAGTGAAAAAGAACCCGAACTAGGCGTCGTGTTGTGTTGTGACAATTTCAAATGTTAATAAAATTGCCGAAAAAATGTTAACGCGTAAATAAGAGCGTAATTAGGGCGTTGTTGGGTACAATAACATTCAATAACACAACTTTCCCGGATATTCAACTCTCCCAAAACAACATTTTATAAAAAATGTCTATACCTATGTTGCGGATTCATGTCTCCAAAAAATCCTATATGGGTATTTCGCCACTGCACTGCAAGAAAATCTACAAAATAAAAAAAATATTTTTTGTAAACACTTCTGCGTTAAACCCAAACGGAAACTACTTGTCAGAAGTTATGTTTACAGTTATACAAATTTGCCTAACAAAGAAAAATTGCTTAAAGATTATCTCTTTCCGTCGTCGGAAGCAAAAAAATACAAAGAATAAAGAAAAAAAACTATTTAAAATATTTCAATTCAACTATTCGAGAACACTTTAGATTTTTAAAACAGATACGTCTACAAGAAACTGTTGACGTTCTGTTAAAATGAACAGAATAAAATAATGAACATGTTATTTTAACAGAACGTCACGGTTTCTTGTAGCAGTATTTGTTTTAAAAATCTAAAGTGTTCTCGAATAGTTGAATTTAAATATTTTAAATAGTTTTTTTCTTTATTCTTTGTATTTTTTTGCTTCCGACGACGGAAAGCGATAAACTTTGTATAAAAAATAACTATTTTATTTTGTAGATTTTCTTGCTGTGCAGTAGCGAAATACCCATAGAGGATTTTTTGGAGAAACATTTTATAGCTTCACAGTTTCCCACCAATTTGATCAAAGTCAAAAGCAAAAATTGATTCAAGTGGCTCGACGAAACAAGTGAGCAAACAAAGAGCTCATTACATAATCAAAAAATTTAATAGGCGTGTACTATGAGAGGATAAAAATAATTTACAATATTAATGGTATACTTTTTTTAATCAACTAGTGATTAAATGTTTTATGAATATCTTCTAAAATTATAATTATGATCCTTTAAAAAATTTCGTTATAGCCGAAATAGCCCCAATTGTGACGTCACTAGCAAAACCGGTGAGTAAAACTATGCTCGCTACCGTAGTTGAACTCATCTAAAAAGTTTTTTTAGCTGGAATAATAAATTATAATACAAATTAGATCTACTGGTGATATCAAAATATTTACTTTTTTATTTTTATTTTTAGAATTTTCACAAATTCTGCTTCCTTACACTTTTAGAATAATTATATAATACATTTTTCATACCCTGCTGGCAAGCGAAACCTTGGGTCGGCCTTTACATGTATAGGAGAGAACTGCTATGGCAATCTAGTAAGTCGGAGAGAGCAACAATACGAAGTATTTGTTACACAACCACTTAATCTGACGCTAAATTCCATGCGCTTGGGAAAAGCGTGTTGACCGTACTGTTCGTATACACGAAAATCGGCACCCAAGACCAGAAATGCCAGCCCTAGTATACTCGCTATTTAAACCCGTGCATTTGTATATACCAGTTGTTTACGATATCCTCCGATGGTGGCAGGCACCGGCGGAGAATGCACCAAGCTTATAAATTCTTAATTTTTGTTACAAGTCTACTTATAATGTGATACCAAAAAATTAACGCTTTTTTAAACCCTTATTTAAAAAAGGAAGGTAGAAATCTAACAAATCACAGACAATTTTTTTTGAAGTATTATTTTTATATTAGTAGAGCATTGTGAAAATAACTCAGTTAACTTACCTATTCTGATTTGACCCAAGCATCCTTTAAATCTGTCAGATTTTTTGTACTGATCGATTCTAGAGAGAAACAGATCATCAACATAATTCTCTGAACTCTCTATAGAATTGCTTATAATCAATGGGTCAACAGTCGTAGTTTCAGTTGTGGAAATTACATTGTGAAGTTCAGTATTTTGTATTGCTATAAGTAATATCACATTTCGGTTACTTTTTAATATTACTGCAAGCACACACTTACCTAATCCGAAATCAAATGTCTTATTGTCACTTCCTGCGACATAAATATCTCCAACCCTAACAAGTGCAGCTAAGAACGCTATGTCAAACGGTTGTAACTGAACATTAGGTTCACCAGCTAACATGTTCTCTTCAAAACCAGCTAAAATCCACTTTTTTGTAGAAAAAAATATAAAATATACACCCAAAAATTTACTTACCTTGAAAACTTTGTTCCTTGAATTCTATTACAACAGTGAGCCATTGTCCGTCAAATTTATCTTTTTTAAACCTTTTTGTAACAATTCCTGTACCCAAATTCCATTCAATTACAACTTCGTTGTGGTAAATAAACACCGTAAAATAATTTACTTCGTGTTTAATAAACAATGCTGTTCCCCATGACCTGAAAAAATACGTCAAAGTAAGCCGTAAAATAACATATCAGTTCAAGCATTTCAATTCTATGAGTTTAATCTGTACAAGGTGTAGCACACCTTCTACGTTACAATGTCAACACCCTTTTCATAGATAAATGAAACAAGTTTAAATTGGAAAGTGGCCATAAGGACAATGTAAACACTATTTGGCGCTATTCTTGCAACGGTCGCGACCCAAAACTTTTGAAAATTTCGGAGCGGTTCGGCTTTTTCCGGAATTATATCGCCAAATATTGTTTATTCAAATTTATTATTATTTTCGTTTAATTTTATAAATAAAAGACAGTGTGTTGCATACAAGAAACTTTATTTTATATAAGGACGCATGTATGAAATACCTATGAAACATTGGAAACCGACGTTATGCCACGATCCACGATGGTTTGTGCAGTTCACAGTTCACAGCACAGCTTTTTAAGTTTTTAATGCCACTTTTTCACAATTATCACCGGTTGGAGTAAATAAAACTTGAATTAAACTCACAAGATAGCAATTACTACTTTGAAAATGGACGCTATAAACACTTTTCGGAATTTCTTTAATGAGAGCGGTTTGGATTTTGAAAGATTATGATTTTTGAAGATTCTGACTTTGACAAGAGAAAATTATTTCAGTTTTTGTTTGCCGTTGTTCTTAGCGACCGCTATAGCAGCGCCAGATCGCGTATAACGGTCGCGACCCAAAATAATTTCGCAACCTAAAATTTTTACGGGCTTTCCAATCTAAACTTGTTGCATTTATCTATGACCCTTTTGAAGTGTTTGAAAACTATATAATATAAAAATTCGCACAACAGACATTATGACATACGTCATGCATATGAATAATGAAATTATCATCTTAATTATCACAAGTTTTCAAACAAGATATGTATAGTACTTGATTTTCATGCATCCGGTGTCCGACGATACAATATTAATTTTATTGGTTGAATTTAAAAACTTCCATTGGTTAGAAAATATCGCAGTTTTTAAATTTATTGCATTTTTATGCCTCCGTTCATCGGATATACGATTTGCTTGTGATTGGTGTCATTTTATATTTTCATTTCCATAACAATTTCGCTGTTTTGCTTATAGTCTAAGGCTAAGATCTTTTGCTATCCTCTCCTGAACAGAGTGCGGACCGTCTGGCTGCCGGTAGACGTTGCGTTCACTACTGCGCATCATACCTATATAGTCTGTCCAACGAGAAGATCCTTGACAGTGATAGATGTGTCTGTCATTTTAATTTCAAAGTAGTTTATTTTATTTTACAAAGAAATAAGTTGGTACAACTGGAACGCATAGCAGGATATATTTAAAATTTGATTGACAAGATGACAAGTGATTACTTCAAAATATTGTGAAAAAAACTGTATAAAACTGAAAAAATGTAATCGAGTTATTTTATTTAATAATAACGGTATGTGTTAATACAAAACAAACAAGAACAAGACACTACATACCAAAAAAATATAAAAAAGAACTATTATTTACTTTCAAGCTTTATGAAACTACCCGCATTTATGAGATTATATTTATCAATATAACTTATGCACAAATACAAATTTGTAATATTCCACAGGAATAAATAAAACAACATAGGTAAATAAAACAAAATATTTTATTAATAATAACACCTACCAAATTTTATACCTTAAAGGTTGATTAATTAACTTTAATCTTAATTTTTTTAAACCAGTACCTTTTGACATTATTTTCCTGCAGTACTAAAATCCATTATTTACCTATCGTGTGATGTCGATATTTTACAGCTACTCCAGTTTTTAGTATGTGTTTAGTTTGATCCTTCTACCATATACGAGATGCACTTATCTACGACGAAATGGTATACAAACTTTATTGATGGCAACTTCATTGGTGTATAAAACTTTCTGCCTGGGCAGCGAGTATAAACCATAAACTGTGCTCTGGGTTTACAGTTAATTTTTCCTCGATTTTTCCTCCACTTGACTTCAAAAGACACAAAACACACGTACTAATACGAATCAAAATGCATCATCTTCCAAAACGCAGGGTATTTAACAAAAGTTGACACAAAATTCTAACCTATAATTTGGCAAGACTTTGACAAGCTTCAAAAATGACAAAAATCTAAAGGCGAGTTCATACGCATCGGCGTCCGTTTGTCGTTCATCGTTCCGTCAAACCAATAAAATTGAAATACGATCTGTCATTTTTTAAATAAACCAATAAAACTGGTTAAAAACAACAAGACACGACGCATGACGGATTTATATTTAAACCCATCCATAGATAACTTAAAAATTATTAGAAACTTTTTTTAGTAAAATAAATAGATTGGTATGGGACGTCATCTGCTTTTCTTCTGTCATCGTCTGTCGAAATCTTACCTGAGAAAAAAAAACAGAGTATATTCAACATCTGTTCACTACGCGCAGTAGTGACAAATTCGCCCTGTATTTCAGGAACTAGGGAGGCTAGGACAAACCTATGTGTAGCATATTTAGTTTCATAAAAAAGTAGCAAAGCAATGTGAAAATCGCATCATTGTATCTCTACTCATAAACGAGAAATCCCATAAAACACACGAAAATGGGATATCCTATACAGATGCGATGCGCAGTAGTCTACCGGCAGCCAGACGGCAAGCACATTGGAGAGGAGAGCACAGGAGAGCATAGCAAAAGATATATTAAAGAACCAGTTGTCTTAAAATTCTCGTTGTCCCGACTGTGCTAGCTCTTGTACTATTATATTTTTATTAAGGTTAGATTAAATCTGTCACAAAAGTGTCAAAACGTCCGTTATCGTACGCACAAAACATCCCCCTTTAGAACTTTTTCTTTAATGGCCATAAGCGGGAGTAAAAGACCAACCGCCCGAACAAACACTAGAGGCGGTTTCGTCATCAAATGGTGTAAAAATTGCGAAAATTTAATCATCTAATTTTGACACAAGGGGTCGCGCTTAAATTTTTTAATTTTAATTCAATATTCATTGTTTTCAAACTAAATTATTAGTCTTTATTGTATTTTGTGAATGAATAAATGTTATTTTAAAAAGTTGCCATTATATTAATTTAAATTATATTACATACTACCTTATTATTATAATATATATTATTATATTACAAAAAGTTAGTTATTGTCAGAAATAGTTAAAATCATGTTAAAATATTAAAATTTACAAGTTATAATTAGATATTTTATATTATTTCAAAAACAAAAACATAATGGTACAGCATTGATATGCAGGTCCAAAACAAAAAGTGCCGTTATATTTTTCAGTTTTCGTTGTCAGCCGCGGAAGTTTCAGTGGTTTTAGTGTTGTCGGATATTTCTATTTGTGAAATAGAAATATTGCGTTTGGATTGCAAAACTAAAAGTGGAAGTTTTATTGCAATGTAAGTAAGCGTTTGTCCATTTTATATTTTACTTTTTTCATACCTCCGACAAATATACGTATATTGAAATTTTATAATTCGTTTTATTTAAAAAATTTTAGAAAACAAGCTTGTAATCCTGTAATTGACATAATTGTTATGTAATATATTCCATTTAAAGGTAATATATTACTTTACAATTAAAAAATATATTAAAAATATATACAGGTATTAATTGAGATTTTTAGTGTGCGAACAAACACGAGAGACACTTTATTATTTACTTTCATTTCTTAACATAACAGACGAAGTTCTAAAGGGGGATTTTTTGTGATCGTACGATCTTACTCCGTTGACGGGCTGGAGTAAAAAATTTACGGATGAAAAGTGACGCGAAAACGTTATGACCAATCAAAGCATCGTGGGACCATCGTATCAATGGATAACGGACTCATGAAAATCAAGCTTAAACGCTTATTTAAAAAAAGGAGAAAAATTATTGAAGTATTGAAGAAACTATTTTTTAAAAAATATAAAATGTCAAATAAATGACAGAAATAAACAGAATATTTAATAAATGCAAAACAATTTCAAACATACCTTGTCCTATAACTAAGCCGAATTTTCTCTAAATCTTGTGTGGTATTAGAGTCTGGCAGTGACGTGAGTTTATACAATAAGGGATCTTGTTTACCATTGAAAGTTGCATTAGCCAAACATTCATATCCGTCTTCCAGATTCCTACAAGACGCTTCGTTAGGACATCGTCCTAGCTCACAAAACTCCAACTCATTGCACACTTTTCCTTTAAATCCTTTAAACAAAATCAATTAATATGTGGATGATAATACAAATCTATATTTTATTACCTCTTGGACATATACATCTATAATCGTTCCAGGTATTCTCGCAAATGCCGTTGTGGTGACAGGGATTTATTTTACATAAGTCGTCGGTCTGTATACCTCTGAGAACTAAAGTTTTATCAAACGATACGTTCCCGAAAGGTCGAGGTATGACCAGATCTGGACCGGATATTGGATAAAATTCTACTACCATCACGTTAGTACCATTGCTGACCTATAACCAAAACAATATACTTTTATCTAGACAAAAAAGTCGTTTTGAACTCTATTTAACCTATAGGCTTGGTGTATTTCAGTTGATTTCAACAAATTCCGACCACAGCGCTTTAGCGGCAGAAATCAGAAATTATCAGCATGTATTTCACGCCGTCGCGTCGGCCATCCCGGTTACAGTTCATGTTTTTAAAATTTTCAGTTAAAAATATAATATCTGTATTGTATTGACGACACTATATTAGATTTGAGAACTCGTGGGAATTTTATAAAAAACGAAAAATTCTCGCCGTCCTTGTGGGAAATTCTATTTCAGAAATTTAACAACACTGGCTATAACACTAAATACAACTCTCCCGGAACAACCCAATTATGTCCTAACTAGCAAAACTGGTGCGTAAAAATAGGCTCTCTCCCGTAATTGAAACAATCGGCGTGTTATTACTCATCTAAATAGTTATTTATGATATAAGTGCTAAAAGTGGTATTTTATTTTGTGAGAAGGGAGGCTTGGGACACGACGCCGAAGGTTTACAAACCATCCCTCGAACCTCGTTTTCAAACCATCCTTCGAACAAAATAAAATCAATTTTAGCACACATATCATACACTATTTTTTCTACAAACAAGTTTATGCTCGTATATATCAAAATTGCATTAGCAACTACAAATAGTTACTATTCTATTATATAATTATAATTATTTATTATATTATATTATAATTTTATTACAACAAGTACTAACCACAACACTACAACATAAAAAAAACTATACCCATATTAACTAAAATTCGTAAAATAAATGACAAATAATAATTATTATTTTTACACACACCACTGACACTAGCAGTAGATTGTGTTTGTCTCAGAATATATGCCCCGGCCCGTCCACAATTCAACCCCAGCATCTTTTATCTTCGTCTCTTCAACGCTAACGGCGCCGATCTCGCCTATCTCTTTCTCACAGGATTGATTGTTGGACGGGCCGGAAATCCACGAGCTTGCGACGTTACTACTTGACATCTTGATAGAAAATGCAGACCTGCCGCGTCTTTTGCGTGTTTTTAATGGACACAAATCGAAAAAAGTGCTTAACACGGTAAAATCGCAAAAAGCGCTTGAGACGCAAAAAACGCAAAACGCTAAAAACGCTTTCTGTGTGGCCGTGGGCTAAGACGGCTTTACAAAGTTCTCCATCTCCGATATCAGTTGTACTAAAGTTTATGGCACGAATGGTTGTATTTTCGGCGAGCTCAGTGATGAGGTGTTCTGGTATTTCCCCATTTTCCCTACAGAATCTGCATTCGCCGTACCGTCGGAGAATATACCTATATTTTCATCGTTATCTTTCGGGTTAAAATCCAGACCACGGATTTAAAATAGCCAGGCCTGTATAATCTAATATGTTAAGTGTTTTCCGATTTCTTACTTACTTGAACGTCTTGAATGATTCCCTTAAAATTGACATTGCTGAGTGTAGATGTGATTGCAGCAGATGCCGTTGGCGCGATTAGGTCTGATTTAGTCGTACCTATATTTTCTGCTTGCCTGACAGTTCTCAACTGAGGCTGTCCGCCCAAGAACAGTACTTGCGCATCTAGTATTCCCGTTGCTGATATGGTTTTTCTATAGAGAGGTAATTATTAGATAATTACATATCAAAATAATGAAGCTACACCCACCTAAAGTACTCGGTACCGTTCAGTTTAACTTGTACCAAAGTAACGTTCCTGATAACTTCAATAAGATGATTGTATCCATTGTGTAATTTTACTCCACCTACAGTATAGGCTTCCAATGAACCATTGAACTGTATTCTCACTAATAATTCACCTAAATAAATACAATTAAAGATTATCTAACTGATAATGATATTATAAAGATATATACTTGATTTTATTGTGTTATTTACATGATAACAGGAAAACAATTGTTATTAGATATTACATTAGATTTTTTTTTAAATGACAAGTAAAAGCCTACACATTTTTGATCCCACGATATTTTATGGCTTACCTCCTTCAAGCTGAGCTGCTATATAAGTTTCGTCATTTATATTTTGACCTAACGAAGATCCTAAATAGAAAATTTGGCCCTTTGATTGTCTCGTTCGTATAAACATAGATATATCCACTACCATGCGTATATCTCTTTTAGGAGACTCAAATACATTGACCTAGAATTTATTTAAAAATAATGCATTTAAAATTAAATTGTATTTGTCTTAAAAAATAATTTTCCTTACAGTTACTAATGAGTCTGTTATATCCTCATGACCAAAGGTAGCAGCTGTGTAATTATATTGACATCTGTTACCCAGATATGGCCTGGTACAAGTGCAGCTAAAAGTAAAAGTTTATTAAAAAGTAGTTCAAATGACCCAATTACATTTTTCGTTCTTAAAAATATACTTTTTTGAATACTGGTATTTCAATACACAGGGCGCATCTTAAGGACTGTATTTTAGCTGCTAGTACATTTTGAGCCTCAAAGCACTACGCTCGTGAGTTATTTTGGGCAAATGCATTCGAAAGTGCATACTTTCCGGAAATCTTACAAAAAAATACGGTTGTAGGTTCATTCCCTAAAATTTCATGAGGGTGTATGGAAATCTTGCAATGTTGCCCCCTACTACGTTATCCACACACTTATATGTTGATAAGTTTGAAATCAAAAAGATTGAAGAAAATTAATTTTAATATCGATGTGCATTAATATAATTCTGGAAAAATGGAAATATATACATATTACAAAGTAATTTTAATCTTAGATAATGCATGTTTCAGTAAACTTAAAACGTTTCTTTTATTTATTTTGCAGTATAAAAATACAGGTGAAAAAAACATATCTGCAAAACCCCTTGATGTGAAGTTTTTGACGTAAGACATATATTATTTTGACATATTTCAAAGTTAAGTGTATACTTTCTTGTCCATGTAGCAACACAGGACGTCGTATAACTGAGTACCCTTCTGATTTCCAGTCGGTATCGGCGGTTCTCAAAAAGTAAGTGTAATTTATTTATATTATCAAATGTCCAATAGAAAATATATTTGGTTTTTGTCCATATCTACCATTCCTTAACTTACTAGAACTTATTTAAAAGACATCCTGTATAAAATTTAGTAAGCTTTATATACCCAATACATTTTTCAAAGTAAATGACCAATATTTTAGTGTTATGTTAATACTATATTATACTATACGTATTTGAAAAAGCCGGTTATATCAGGTAGTTCAAATGTACAACTAAGAAATACCTGAAATCTCTCCATTTATCAGTGCAAAATCCTCCAGAATGGCATGGATTAGGATCGCATTGAGGTTTTCTGGGGCAACCTATTTCAGTATTTTGAAAAATAAGATGGCTTGTATTTCTAGGTTGTGGTATAACCCATTCGGAGTTTATTTGTATGTCTTCCGCACAACCTACAAATAATAAAATAATATTGATTTTGCTAATATTCAAATACAAAAAAATAACAATTAGACTAATACTAACCAACGAAAAATGGCTGATGAGTCAACTTGCGGAGATTTGATGGAATTCCGCCAATATAAGTGACAGGAAAACTAAAACATAATGTATATATCACCTATCAAGGGGATTAAATTAAACTATAATAACATGCATCCTTTGAATAATCGAGATATACAATTATATTGTATTAGAGATATTTAACTGTTGTGTAATAAAGTACCTATTAGTTGCATAGTTTTCATTAAAAGTTATGGGATAAATAGTCTGTTCTTCATTGGCACTCAAAACCAAATGGGTTGAATTAATAGCTACAAAAACTTTTTGCCAATTGCTGTCGTTGAGATTAGATCCAATAAAAACGCCTTCCCATTTATTTAATAAACTTGATTGTAAGTTCAATCTCCCTTTGGATAATTCTAGAATATAGTATGTCGGACCCTTGCCTAGAATTGCAGAAAATTTTAATTTACAATATTTATTATTTATATCCCATGTTATTTAATAACCTAAAGCCAAGAGTCCGTCTCCTAAAGTTGTTTTGAATCTAAACTGGACATCATACCCTTCATCTCTACTGGTATTAACTGTCACTAATGAATTACCTGAAATATATTTATAAAAAATATATAAGTATAATATTTAAAATAATCGATAACAAAAATAATACCTCCAAAAGAAATAGTAGTCCTATTTTCACAAGCATAACCAAAAAATCCACTGGGACAAGAACAATTAAATCTATGGTCATTTTCACCTCTCAAATATGGAATACACACCCCATTGTTTTGACATGGTTTTTCGGCACAACCTGTTAATATATAACAAAATTAAAAATATTGGCAGATAAATCAAATAAGAAAATCTTTACCTATTAGTTCCACTGAACAATTCTTTCCACCATAATTCTGATTACATATACACGAATAATTTGCTACTTTATCTATGCAGGTACCATGTATACATGGATTATCTGCACAATCGTCAATATCCTATAACACAAACATTATAATAGCAGATAAGGGATTATTATAAAAAAATCATACTTTGTCACAATGAACACCTTCGTATCCTTCAAAACATTCGCAGATGTAGCTTCCAATTTGATCAATACAATTTCCAAAATTACAAGGATCAGACTCACACTCGTTAATGTTTATTTCGCAGTTCTGACCTGTTACACCTTTAACACAAAGGCATTCGTATCTGAAATAAAGGTTTTGGATTTGTTATGGTCAAAGAATATAAACACGTTCATAGTTTAATCGTTGATTGAAAGGATTGTAAAGATACGCAACTTAATGGGTAAATTCGTGACAAGGCTGATTTGATTTCCCCTTAGATCTCAAGTGGTCTCCGGTGGGGCCGCATAAAACACTTATTTTCTCTAATTTGGCTAGCGAAGGCATATCAAAGACGGTATGGAACTGAAAGCGACAGTATTGCCATTTAAAATGTGTAATATTTGTAATACGTTTTGACGAAAATATCTTTGGATGACAAATCCGCGTTTATGTATCGAAAATTTATTCGTGTTAAACATAGAATAAACAACAAAAATAAAACTTATTTTATAGGTACTGAATATTTCGTATAATCGAAAAAAGTCGTTTACTTAGCTTGGAAATGACGACTATTGACATTTACCATAATATTATACATATGAAACAACAGAAATCTTCATTTTCAAGCCAACTCTGACGCCGTTCTTTGTTTAGTCATATAATATTATATTATAAATTGTTTAATTGTAGAAAATTCGTATTATTAACGTATTGTACCCAAAATCCGTAAATCTACGGATTAATCCGTAGTTCTGGCAATACTGTCTCCGGCAACCACCCACTCTGTCGATAAAAGCAGAACTACGGTACAGTATTCTTTCTCCGCTGTGATGTAAAGAACTGTTAATGCGCAGCGACGCAGAGCTAAACTAAATGCAGTGCGATTCTGTAAACATATTTTCTGTCTAGTGACTCATCAATCGTATAAAAATAACATAGGCTAGGCAAGAAATTTTTTGCTACGGAGCTTACAGAATACCACTGCAGGTTAACTAGCGGCGATGGTATCAGTTACCAGCTACATCTTACTAACATCTCGAACAGGTTTTGTGCCACGAAATCGGCCATAAGATTGCGTATCTTCTTATTTCTCCAATCAACGGTTTAATCTAATTATTTATGTCTTGGATATCTTGACTTACCCTTCAACATCTGAGTAATTAAAAGGTCTTTGGAAAACTTCAGGTAATTCAATATCCCACTTAGATACAATACTAGGATTATAAAGGGTTTTGTTTGATCTTTCTAGACATAAACCATCATATTTGCAAGGATTGCTTTCACACTCGTTGATATCGACCTCGCAATCTTTTCCAACGTAGCCCTTAAAATAAAAAAAACTCTTATAATTAACTGTATTGATAGTGCCTGGAATTAAAGTCATAAAACATTTTATCTAAACATAAAAACTAACGACAAAATAATCATACAATTTTTACGATGCAGTATTGCATACCAATGAATTAAAAAATTGGTCAAGTACGAGTCGGACTCGCGCACGAAGGGTTTCGTACCATTCATTATCTATACAACATTAGACACTATATAATTATAAACTTTTTTTTCCGATTTAGCTGAAATTTTGAATGCGCGTATAAGTAATTTAAAAAAAATGAAGAACACATTACTAAAAATTGTATTAATCAATAATAAATATGTAAAAAGTAAAAATAAATATGTAAAAATAAAAAAAAACGATTAAAAAAAGTCCCCTTGACTAGGATTCGAACCTGCCTTACTACGGCTCCAACATCATAGCAGCGTAAAGTCCTAACGCTTTAACCACGCGGCTTAAAAAAATTCTTACTTAAAAGATAATGTTTAGTGAAAGTACTTTTTTATTTATAGAACAACATTAAACATAGATACATTATCTGTAAAAAATTCAACTGTCTAGCTATAACGGTTCTTAAGATAGACCTTTGTGACAGACGGACGGACGGACGGACAGCGAAGTCTTAGTAATAGGGTTCCCGTTTTACCCTTTGGGTATAGAACCCTAAAAAAGATCTTCTTTATTCACTGTTGCATACATGCAAGAGTGCGTCGGGTTTCTACAAGTACTATAATAAAGAACTTAGGAATTCGGTTTATGTGCACTTAAACTGTGTACTAGAACGTATTTCAGAAAAATAGTTCACTTGTACATGATGTTCCAAAACGGGTGAGTAAATAAAATAAAACACCCTGTATATTAGCATTTTTTGGGTTCCTTCCTGGTCATTTTACATAATCCTAGGTTATTATTAAATTTGTTGTGATAGTACTAAAGAAAAAAAAGCATTTTTTCTAATCGTTAAAAAAATAATAAGCTCGCTTGGCTAGTTTTTGGCACGACCAACCAACTGAGCGAGTATATAAATGCTCAATTTGTAGATATTAGTTTAGTTTTAACGCGCGTCCCGTGTAAAAGTAAAAGTGTTTTGGTATATTGTGGTGATTTAGTATTTTATTTTGCTTTTTATTTTGATATCCAATTTGAACCAAAAATAAAACAACAATTTTGTTCACTTGACTAAAGAGAACAATTTTCTAGATTCTGATAAGAAATACAATTTGATGTTTCATTCAGTAGTTGTATTAGTGATGCGATAGCTATATTTATAAGGCGATAATTACTGGAAAAAGATTCTTACCGCATAGCATATACACTCATAGTCCTTAATCTCGTCCACGCAAGCAGCCCCATTCAAACATGGATTTCCTTTGCAATCGTCAATGTTGATTTCACAATGAACTCCTTCATAGCCTGTATCCGTACAATTGCAAGTATATTCGTTTAAACCATCTATACATTCGGCACCGTTTTGACAAGGTGATGACTGAAATAACAATAAAAAAACTAATAATTTTGTATTTTATAGTTAATACTTAAAACTATCATTCTTACCAGACATATGCGTACGAAATATATTTTTGAATAAATTTGGACAATTATTAACATTTATTGATGCAACGTAAAAGAAAACCAACAAATTATTATCCGTGCCCTTACCCTACCTTGTATTATTTTTTTTTATATTTTAACATGTTAAAAAATAAAAGGCCACTAGTAAACTAAAATTCAAGTCAGTCATATTAAAAACCTATCGCGGTCTCTCTAATTATATTTATAGTTGAATGATGTATCTTAGTTTAAGTTTAGAAAGAAAAATTCACTGTTTGAAAAATATCAAATAATCTCTGAATAATATTGTCTTACTTCGCAATCATCTATGTTGATGCTGCACGTTTTCCCAGTTAAACCAGGTGGACAAACGCAGGTAAATTCGTTGATGCCATCAATGCAAGTTGATCCTTCCATGCATGGGTTAGAAGCACATTCGTCTATTTCTTCTGTGCAATTTCTTCCTTCATATCTTTAAAAAAAAATATATTATTTTTGATAAATATTTCCATAAATACAAACAAGTAAAGATCCAAAGCAGTAAAAAATGTTGTTGTTGACTAATGCAATCATTTACACTTTCTTTTTATTTTATGATCAATCAAAATAATTTTATCGAGATATTATGTTTATAAATGTGCGACCCTGTATTAATCCAACATAAAATCTCTCCAAAAAATCTTATGCAAAATGTCCTTTATAATGAAAGAAGCGATAGACTGTAGATGTTAGTTAATGTTGGTAATGTATGGTTGAAATCGCTTCTTTGATTTTAAAGAGCATAACATAAATAAACATAACATACGTAAAAATTAAAAACAAATTAAAAATAATCATAAAGAAAGTTTGAAGCTTTTTGGTTTTACCTTATTAAGTAACTGTTTCTCCAAAAAATCCTATATGGTTATTTCGACACTGCAAGAAAATCTACAAAATAAAATAGTTATTTTTTGTAAACACTTCTGGCGTTAACCCAAACGGAAACTACTTGTCAGAAGTTAGGTATTGTCTTTTTTTTAAGTAATTGTTATCAGGTAGTAATTGTTAATTTTGAAGTTTAACTTGATATAATGTCATTTTAACAGAACGCCAAGGGTTTTTGTGGGTTTTTGTAGACGTATCTGTTAAAAAAAAAATGTTCTCGAATAGTTGCATTTGTAGATATTTTAAATAGGTTTCTTTCTTCTTTGTGCTTTTTTTGCTTCAGACGACGGAAAGAGATATACTTTCCGAAAGGTTAAGCATTTTTTTTCCGTTAGGCAAATTTGTTTATTAGTAAACCACTGCTGAATTAGTTCCGTTGGATTAACGCAGCAGTGTTTACAAAAAATAATTATTTTATTTTGTAGATTTTCTTACAGTGGAAAAATACCTATAGGACTTTTTTGGAGAGATAAATCCGCCTCAGAGGTATAGATATTTTTTCCAACATAAAATATATTATATACAAAAGCATATTTACCCGGGTTGACAAACACAGGAATAATTGTTAACTAAATTGTAACAGGTTGCTTGATTTTGGCAAGGCTGCGGTAGGCACTCGTCTATATCCTTTTCACATCTAAAAATATCAAATATATTGATATAAATTGCAAAATATAATTTTTTATTTTAACATACCTTAATCCCGTATAGCCCGGTTCACAATAACATTTAAAACTTCCTACGGTATTCACACATAAGCCTGTTATGCATATTTTTGTATTGGGTATATTACATTCGTCGATATCCATGTCGCAGAGTGGGCCTAAAATTATATTTTTATTCAGAAATATCAGATTAAACTAATTTTCAAAGGATAATTTTTATACAGGATGTCCCTTTAAATAAGTCTAAATATTTTAACTGGTAATATACCGATCTAGTCATCGAAACTACGTGGTCTGGATTTTAACGTGTAGGACAGTGATGTAGACAGCTTAATAACCAATCAAATGTATTAAAAAGCGATAAAAGTTGGGTTTATACATTTCTTCTATGCTTCTACGCGGTCAAAATTTTAAACCGCACAAGTAGGCGTTTACGAAAAATGTTGCATCTAGGGTTGGAACTTTATTTTTCACAATTAGTTACTCATTTTGCTACAGCTGTAATAGATTATATTTAGTTTAGATATTATTATCTTCATTCCAAAAGAAAACATGAAAATTTTTAAAATAGTTTATTTTTTCTGTCACATTTTCCTACACGCGTAAAAACCGGCAACACTGTATGTCGGTTTTTATTTTGTCTCTCTGTCTGTCGACCGGTCATTTATATTTATCTCTGTCGCACCGGTTAGTCGATGTCAACAGTTCCCAAAATGTAAGCATTTAGGGAACAAGGAAAACAAGCTTAAGGAAACGCACTACACCTACCTGTAAAACCTGGTTTGCATTTACACTGCCATTCGTTTGTCGTTTTATCAATAACGCAAGTGCCATTGACACAAGGATCTTTGGCACAGGGATCGATGTCTACACTACAGTCGTCCCCTATAAAACCCAAGGGACATCTACACTCGTAGGCATTAATCATATCATAACACACCTGAAAATATATACAAGAAATAATGTAAAATGACAAAAATAAATTATTAAAAATATTATGACATAACAATATAAAATTTTGAATTAAATTATCAAGAACTGTCATAATGTTCACCAGACACACTATAAAAATATTATAGATATATTTAGAGCCTATCTATTAATTATAAATGGTTATTAGCGTAAGAACTGGTATATTGCGGTATATTAATAAGCGGTAAGTATAGGCTAAGATAAAAAATATATGAAGAAAGTTATATTTTTTATGTTCCGGTGGATGGAAATTTAATAAACAAGTATATAGTGCTTTAATTAGGATTTTTTCGCAGAGATAATTTTACCTGGCCTGCTGGACACTTGATGCCTTTACAGTCGTCAGTATTAATTTCACACTTTGGTCCCTCAAATCCTGGCTGACAACGACAAGTAAAGTCATGCTTGTTTGCACCTGGTATACAGGATCCATTATTCTGAACAAAATATATATTTTTAACAACAGACTGCGTACAGAGCGAAAACAAATCATTATTCCTCTAACACATAGAATACTGATATTCTATGGGCTAATTTGACTACTGGAATAGTTATACAGGGTGAGTCTCAAATAAGTGCAAATACAGGATGTTTAAAAAAGACATGTGCCATCTCTCGTGGGGAGATTCCTCACGTAAAAATAAGATTTATTTTTCATAGCAACATAGGTCCGATTCAGCTTTCTTTCGTAGCTACAGGGCGTTAAAATCTTAATATTTTTTGGATTTATTATCATTTTCTTCCAAGTACTTTTAGCGTTTATGAAATTAGCGTTTCGAATGAAATTTTGAGGGTAAAATTTACTATAAATGCGACATATTTTAAAACTAAAAAAGTGTCGATATATTCACCAGAGGGATGTGCATATGGGTTATCAATCGAATATTTTTCTAAAAAAAGCATGTACGCCACTGACTTTTTTTCTCTTGTTAGCGAAATAGTGTAAGCAGTTTAATGCCGATTAAAAGTTGTCTCTTGATATTTTGTCGATTTCGGTCTCCTTGATGAGATAAACGCAATTTTATTAATTTGCTTTGATGCAAGTCCAATAGCAACCTTTAAAAAAAATAATATCAACTTGCGAAAGTTTTAAATAAGTACGCATTGATTCTTCGTCAAAAAATATGAAAAAAAGTTCCTATAAACATGGGTATGGAAATGCATAGTTTTAGAGTTACAGGATGTTAAAACTTTTTTAAATTAGGTTTTTTGTGTGTTGGACGTTTATGAATTTTTCGCTGTTTTTTTTTAAATTTCTATTTTTTTTATTTCTTTTTATTATTAGTTAAAAAACATATCTTGATATTATGGCAACATAGTTAGTAGATTAAATCTACAAAAAAGGAAATCCAAAAAATCCAGTAGTTCTCAAAATTTAAACAAAAAATATATTTTTATAATTTTTAAGTAAAATAAATCGAGTATTTTGGATTTATTTGAAAAACTGCAAAAAGAAAATATGTTTCTATTATCGAGATCTACCAGTCCTGAAAATATTTGCACTTATTTAAGAATCATCCTGTATAATTAATAAAAAAAAATAATTAATTAATTAATTATGAATATAAAAATAAAAACATAACGGCTTGACAATGACAAAGTAATATTATTTTCTTATATCTTACTTGGCAAGGTTGTAACTCGCACACATCGTATGGCTTTTCACAAAATGTGCCCATCCACTGCTCTGTACAATTACAGTAGAATCCATTTTCAACATCTACGCAGACACCATCATTCAAACAAGTCGTTGACTGACAGCTATCCGCGTGGGTTTGGCATAGTGGTCCTATTAACAATTTATTATTAAAACAATATTCCTTCAAGTGATTTCCACATATAAATGTAAGAAAAAAAAGTAGAGAGTATGAACTAAGCCACAACAAACAAAGTGACTAAAATGAAGATGTCTCAAATGATTTATTTATATATCATGCATCTAACTATAATAAAATTAAAAAAAAACTTCATTTTGGCATTTAATATAGTGAATATTAAGTACGTTATCCAAGTACAATTTTATTATTAGAGTATCTGTAAGTTGCAATATGATAAAATATTGTGTTGGTCGTCGCTAAAACAGCGAAAGAGTACATCAGAATAAGTTCTAAGTGTATATCATATTAGAAATAAATTTAGTACAAATATTATTATCCTGCCATAAAATAAATTTTCCTCTCGAGAATTATGTTTAATATCTAGGAAAGTATAGTACAGACTTTTTAACACTTTTAACAGTAAATAACTTATTTTTTTTTATCTAAACTATATCGATACTATGATAGAAATTATATAAAGGACCAAACAAAAATTTGATATAAAATGCATAATGAATAAACAAAGCAAACAAGTAAACCCAAAATTGCAAGCTAAACAGCATTACCGACATCCATAGACATTTTTAAATATAAATAGATAACAATCATTGAATAAAAATATCTAAGAGAAGTCAAACACTATTTTTACATGTATTATTACATTAAAGAAAGAAGTGACGTCATCGACACCCCTTTATGTCTCTTCTCTCGACAATTTTCAAATTATGCGAATTGTGGTTTTCTGTAATTGTAATGTATATTTTATTCGATTTATTTACGGATTATTGAGATTACGATGCTATATTAAATAACATTGTATATGAAACTACCGTTAAATTATCAAAAAAGGGTGTTTAATTTTTCTTGTATTTCAAAGTACACAATTTTTCATCATTTGGCAACATGGAGTACCTCTCGACAGTGAGCGGGAGAAACCCTGTGTTTGTTTAACTGAAATAACGCTGATTCACTACTGTGCCATATGACACAATCGTGCCGATACTGTGTGTTGATACCGGAAAAGGTGTCAGTGTTACTGTATCAACACACCAAAAATTAGAGTGTTACCCATGACTAAAAGAAATAAAAGAATTAAAAGAAACACAATAACTTTAATAATAAGCTTTTACGCTGGTATCGAAATCACCGTTTCGAAACAGTTCACGAAGAGAAATACAATTCTGGTTGAAACGCAAAAGTCATCGTTCGCTAAACGATTCTCTCGCTGATGGAACGCATTTATTCTACTGCGCATAACCGTAACCGTACCAAGAACGGTTATGTTGGGATACATCTTTTGTTGATATACCGTTTCCTTAGTATTTTTATTCAATGATAACAATAAATGAGTATATACAGTCCAGCATACAATTAAAAGAATCAATGCAACATCTATTTATATCACGTCTATGGTTCTACCTTTAAACCCAGTACGACAGCGACACGTATACCCTAAACCATTTTCCACACAAACTCCATAATTGAGGCAAGGATTCGACAAACAGGGGCCCAATTTTCTTGAGCAATTGGGACCTATCCATCCCTGCGCACACGTGCAGTAATAACCACCCCGCTGTGAGAATGTGAAAAAAGTTCAATGCAGAACAAAAATGTTGCAACGTGATTTGAGTGTGGGTGTAGCACCATATAATAACAAATAGATATAGATATACTTCTTGAGGAGCAGACTTTCTAGATGTATTTTGTCCATTTTTTCGAATTTTGGCAAACAAAGAGAAAATGTTACGCTTAAACAATAATAAAAAATAGTACACCTACATGTGAAAAATCTAGTTTTAATGATATCTGAAAAAAACTGTTGACTGTCCTTTAGACGTAAAATTTCTCTTTATTTTTCTGCTACTACGGTCCGTATCCTCAAATACATGGTCCCCAGTCGTAGTTCCATTCGTTATTTTAAGCAGTATTATTCAAAAAATAGAGAAGTTGTAGTCCAAAAAAACACTTTTCATCTGGCAATGACAAACAAACAGCAGATGTGCACAGCACAAGGACATACTTATGTTTGTTTGTCTACCGCCAATGGACATAATACATAATGTACATACAGTCTACATACTGACATAATATTGTAGCTCTGTGTATGTAGTTTGCAATGCCACCTTTGGTTGAAAAGCTTAAAAATGGACAAAATGAATTTAGTAAGTCTGCTGGACACTTATGCTTATTTAATACCAACGTGAATCTAATTTATCTGTAGATCAAAATTCTCTATTGGTGGCATAAAAACGAAAAAATCTGTTATAATAATAAAATAACAGCATTTACGATGCAGAGATGTGACTTAATGTTTTTCACTAGCTCATTGACATAAAACATCAATTCGTCTCACTAGTGATGACGACAATCGGTTGAGCTGATGTCTTAAATTTTATGGAGGCACTGGTTTATTCATCATAGTGTCTTATAAGAAATCATTTCCTATTTAATAAATATATTTTACCATCATTTAAAATAATAATTCAAGTACAAAGTGTCCAAGAATATATCTAATTAATTTTAATTAAGTGTAGCACTGAGTTTACTTAATACCGGTTGTTTTTCAAACTTGCTAGAGCTCACCCCTATAACTTCTAAGTAACATAAATCAGGACTGATTGGCGTATTCAATTATTTCCTATCATTCCTGTTTCACCGGAAATTACTACAATTACTTTGCTTTTTAAATGGTACCCTCATGGTATTTTTTAGTTTATTTGATAGAAAATTTTAAAGTTATTCTATAAAATTTTAAATTTTATAGAAAACGTTTCATATGTCAACTTTTGACATTTCCGCTTAAAAAATAATATTTTAAATTTCAATCCAGAGTGTGATTCAAATGAGAATGGCTGTGTTCATAACGACAATTTGACTCAAAATAGCACTTACTTAATAATTATAAATATACTGGTATATGGTACCAAATTTTCCGCTAAAAAAATGCTTTTCCCCATATGCTACTGAACCCTTCTTCCATTTAAAAAATGAGTTATGATTAAAAATACGATTGGGACATCTCTTAAACGACCAGGAAACACCACAAAAAACACTTGACTATGAATAAAATATACTCTTGAATAAAAAAAATGAATAAAAGGCCTCTTGATTAACAATTAGTGGTTTTAACACACGCATACGCACTTTTTTTAAGCAAAAATGTCAAAAGTTGACATATGATATGTCATTATATTTAGAATGTCATTTTTCTACCAAATAAAGTCAAAATTTCGATGGTACCACTTAAAAATTCGGTGAAACAGGAAGTGGCCGAAACTAATAGAATACGTTCAATCATACCTGATTTATATCATAATATACTAACATAAAAAATGTTGTTTTTATCTGAAAAAAAAAATAAAAAAGTTATAGGGATGAGCCATTTTTGAAAAATACCCGCTATAATTACTAATAACAATTTTGATTTGTTTTGGCAAATTGTGTCCCACCATAATTTTTAATGGCTACCTTAATTATATCTATTCGTGATCATACGGTATTTTTACCCCTAAATATTAGTAACTTACATAATCTAAACAAGAAATTGCATGCAAGCATGGGTTATTTTTACAACCGACTCTCAAATGGCAATATTTTCCTGTCCATGGCTTCCGGCACTTACAGTAGGAACCATTAAAGTGTTCTTGGCAAGTACCACCATGTTGACATATGTCTTTTTTACATATCGAAGCTCTTTGGCATAAAGAACCTGAATATTCAAGTGCGAAAGAAAAAGGTGAGCATGCAAGTAAGTAAAAGAATGTCGTAAAAACAATTCGCCTATTTCCTGTAAAAGCTAATATAGAAATAGAGTGAAAATATATAAAATTTTGTGTAATAAACAATTATTAGTTTTTTAATACTTTTGTTGTTAATCTACAGCAAGGTTTCTCAAATTTATAGTGGCATGTACTTCTTTTAGTGTAGGTTTACAAAACATACTCGCTCCAATCATACTAAGTATGACCTGTCATTTATGAACCAATAAAATTGCATATCAGCAACGGGCGACGCATGACGAATAAGGTAGTAGTAAAAAATGTTTACACCTATGTGGCAGATTCATCTATCCAAAAAAATCCTTTATGGGTATTTCGCTACTGCACTTTCCTACTTTCGGAAAGTTTTCTCTTTCCGTCGTCGGAAGCAAAAAAATATTAAGAATCAAGAAAAAACTATTTAAAATATTTGAATTGAACTATTCGAGAACACTTTACTTTTTAAAACAGATACGTCTACAAGAAATCGTTGACGTTCTGTTAAAATGACATTATATTAAGTTAAACTTCAAAATTAACAATTACTACCTGATAACAATTACTTAATAAGGTAAAACCAAAAAGCCCAAACTTTCTGTATGATTATTTTTAAATTTTACGTATGTTATGTTTATTTATGTTATGTTCTTTAAAATCAAAGAAGCGATTGCCATACATTACTAACATCTATAGATGCATGAGCAATACATTTATTTTTATTAGATTGAATTAAAAAAGCCTCTTTTATTTTTCTTTTAGAAAATTCGCTTCTTTCAAAATTATAATGAAAGAAGCGATAGCCTCTAAAAGAAAAATAAAAGAGGCTTTTTTAATTCAATCTAATAAAAATAAATGTATTGCTCATGCATCTGTAGATGTTAGTAATGTATGGCAATCGCTTCTTTGGTTTTAAAGAACATAACATACGTAAGTAAGTAGATTATATTTACAAGAAAAAAAACCCTAAGAGATACAGTGGACAGTGGTTCTCAAAATTTAAGCAAAAATTAATTTTTTTATTCTCAAAGTAAAATATCTATGTCGGTTATTTTGGACTTTCATGCCTCGTCTCTTGTTGTTTTTACCAGTCTTAATGGTTTATTTCGCAACCAAAAATGACAGATCATATTTCAATATGATTGAAGTGATTGGAACGATGTACAACGCACGGACGCAGATGCGTATGAAGAATAATATTATTAGATTTTTTTGCATTATGTGATGTTTTGTATCATTTGTCACTAAAATATTATATATTTTTTTATATCTCTGAAATATATTAATTTCTCCCTATGATACAAAGAAAACAAGGTATGATCGATAGCAGCTAAGGCAATAAGTTTGAGTTGCATATCACCTGTGACGTCACTATGCCAATATCTATATTGTTCAATTGCCACTAATAAAAAAAGACTCATAATAGGGAAGAATTAGGACATAACCTCAAAAGTTATGCCAAATCATTGAGCTTGACATTTGAAAAGTCATTTTCATATTTATTGTGTCAACAGTTTGACGATTTGAAATTAGCGCGCGGAACAATGCAATGGTGCCGATATCAACTGTGACGTAGCGACCAACCTGCGCAATATCATACCTTCTTTTCTTTGTATCATGATTTCTCGCTTTATATCCCAATTGTACCAACTTATTTCGTTATAAAATAAAATAAAATAATTTGAAATTAAAATGACAGACACATCTATCACTTTCAAAGATGTTGTCGTTGGACAGACTATAATGCAAAAAGTTCATGTAGGTAAAATTGAAATATAGGATGTACGATAATATAAAAAAGCAATAACTGTTGAAAAAAGTACGAAGAAAGAAAATAAAATCGTTTCTTGATGTGACGAGTTCGATTAAAATTTGCTCAAATCCTACAAAATCCACAATTTGAGAAACCTTAATCTACAGTGTTAAACAAACAAGACACATAAATGTGTAGTTATCATTAGAAAAATATAGGTACCTGTAAAACCTGTTGGACATGAGCAATTCATATTTCCATTGACCACGTTGCACTGGCCTCCATTTTTGCACGGATTATTGGCACAAACAGCTTTGCAGTTTGGATATTCTCCAGGGAATTCTGCTTTACAAACGCACTCAGCTCCATTTATTGGATCTAAAAATATGTTTTTTAATAAAGAGTCTCTTTTAAATAAAAGTTATAGTACCTTGTATACATTCGGCAAGCTTGCCACAAGAGTACATGTCACAGTGTTTTTGTTGTCGCTGTTCAATTTCGCAATTATCTCCAAAATATCCAGGCAAGCATTTGCATTCGTAGCTGGTCTTGTGACTGACGCACACTCCGTTATTGAAGCACGGTTGTGAAGAACATTCATCAACAATCTACAGAGAAAATATAATTAAAAAGAAAACAGTGTGTGCTCTATGTCATGTGTGCGCAGTATGTAAAACTTCTTGCTAATAGCTATTAAATTCAACATGTTTGAAAAAGTGACATATAATTCTGTTTTAATATAAATATTATAATTATATAAATTATTATATTATTTTCAATTTATTTCTGTAATCTGTACATTTTCTGTTTCCTCAATGTTATGTTGTGGCAACACTGCCTCGCCTAGGGTTTGTGTGCGCAAGCAACGCCGACTACAGCCCGTCGGTAACAAAGTACAATTCACTAAACATGTCTGAACATGTCGCGTCCTTCCCTTAATTAATTGTGATATTATATTATCTAATAGTAATAAAGACTAATGTATTGAAATAAGTGTTTCCTTCTTGCCACCCTCCGAAACATAGCACTCAATAGCCTGCAAATTTTGTGGAATACCATCCAAACTACACACTTTTATGCAAATGTCTAATGTTAACGCTTAAATTTATTTAAGAATTCCTATTTACAGTGGTTTACAGTAATTTTTGATAAATTATAGGAATATTCATGTTGATTATTGGTTTGAAATAAATATGATAATCCCCTGATAATGAAAATGCGAGTTGCTTAACTCTAATAATTCTAATTCTGAGCTAGCAAACGAACTAGATGTAGAATGTAGAATGTTTAGGAGAGGGGTTAATCACCGCGTTATAACGAGTTATAACTCATCATACAGTCTCAGGGCTTTAACAAAAGCCAGTATCTGAGACGGCTCCACAGAGGCCAGCTCTCCATCCTCGACATCAGACGTACCAAGGTTCATGGCACGAATGGTCGTCGTCTCGGCGCACTCAGTGATAAGGTGTTCTGGTGTTTCCCCATTTTCCCCACAAAATCTGCATTCGCCGTTGTTTCTCAGTTTCAGCCTACTGAGGTGTTCGTTGAGGAGACAGTGTCCTGTTAGAAACCCCGTGACAATCCGAAGATTGTTTTTACTTAAATCAAGAAAAACCTTTCATTTTTCTCGGTCGTAAGTTCTGAGGAACTTTTTCGAGTGTCTTAGACCGTTGGAGGACACCCATTCCAAGTTACGGATGGAATCTTCCAGATTCTTCAGTTCCGCTTTCAGTTGGTTCCCGTTTGGAAAACAGAACGGTTCTGGTCCAGTTAGTGGAGCGTTCGCTCCTTTTCTAGCTAGATCATTTGCTTTTTCATTGCCTTCTATCCCTTGGTGAGCTATCCCAGAGTAGGGGGACTTTATTTTCTTTGCCTAATTTGTTGAGCTTCTCTAGGCATTCTTTGACCAACTTCGAATTGATGGTTACTGAGTTGATCGCGTTAAGTGCTGCTTGACTATCGGATAGGATGGCAATTTCCTGTTTTCGATAGTTCCTATCGAAGATAAATTGTACGCATCTTCTGATAGTGTAAATTTCTGCCTGAAGGATACTGGGGTAGGTGCCCATTGGTTCGGAGTATTTAGTTTTCGGCCCAAATACTCCTATCCCTGTCCCTGCTTTGGTTTTGGAAGCATCAGTATACCACGTGATGGTATGGTCTTTTATATGCTGAGTAAGTGTTTCTTTCTTCCAATCCTTTTTATTACGCAATACTACAGTGAGGTGTTTCTCAAAGTTGTAAATTCTTGGTATGTCATCCACTGGGAGTTGGAGAAGTGGAATTTTCTTTTTGAATGTGTTCCAAGCCCCTGACTTGATGAACGAACTAGATGCTTTATTATCGATGAAATTATGCATTATTTATTATGCAAATTATTTATTATTGATGAAAATATGCATGAAAATGTACTTCTTAGCACACAACCAGAGGATATTGGTACACAGATACAGTATCAAGTTTATTATAATGATTTTCTTAGCTTTAAATCGAATGTTTTTTGGTATTTGCAGAATCGTTACCATTTTTTTTCTCGTTAGTTCGTGCGTCAAGCCCGTGTCGTGTCTAGACTGTCACTGCCTTGAATTTTTACACCAATCGAGCATAAAGAAGTTTCACTTCAATAAATAGCAAACTTACAGAAAATAAATAAGGATAACTAATATTACATCTTTAATTAGAAACTGAATGAGATATTCTCAAAAACTAAACTACTTACAAATTGACAGTTTGTTCCTCCATAACCTGCTGGACATTGACATAAATAAGATCCGTAAGTGTCAAAACAAACCCCACCATTTAAGCAAGGACTGGCAATACATTCGTTTATGTTAATATCGCATAATCTTCCAGTATAACCAGTGTGATTACAGTCGCAATTGAAATTGTTTAGTTCATCTGTACAAACACCTCCTGAAATTATTACAATATGATCAACGGAATTCGTAACAATATTATTTTTATTTGCATTTAGAATAGCTGGAGGCTTGGTGTATTCTTTACCAAAGATATCATCCATCATCGGAGACTCCCGTAAACAAACGAGTTATACAAACACACAAACTTAAATAGCGAGTACACGAAAAATTTGATATTATATTATTATTATTTGAAATGTACAGGGTGAGCAACGATAAAGTCCACTATCTCAGTTGTTTCGAGGTTTCCAAAAAATATTAAATATAAAAGTTATTATTATAGAGTATACAGGGTGTTCCAAAAAAGTGTGGCGAATATAACATATGTATGTTTTCTTAAATGCAACACCCTATTTTTATTTTATTATTAGATTCTGCGTAAAATTCCATAACTTTTTTACATATAATGTTATATACTTAAAATTAATAGTTTTTGTAATATTTAAATCTGTTTAAACAAATATTTGATTGCAGTGTGGTAAAAAATTGTCAGTGAATTGTTTCTGAAGTTGGACAACTAAAATTTGGTAGGAGAATTTCATAGAGATATAGAAAAAAAGTATGTGAAGATATTTTAGTTAGATGATACGAGGCGTTAAAAATATATTTGTGAATTTCAACTGCTTAAAATTAAGAAATTTCAATTTGTTTAAATAGTAAACTTGAGATATTAATCAATCTTTCTAATAGATTTTACAAAACTCTTTTAGAGTCTCTTTATTTTACAAACAACTTTTATTAAGTATATTGATGGTATATTGTCAATGTGTGTGTGTGGCGACATCTATCGGAGAAACGCTACGTGTATTGCTGGTTGATGACACTGTTTGAGACGCCATCTCTTAGCCAAGTAGAAAAGCGAGTTCTAACCAGGCAGCAGAATTTACTGGTAGCTGGCAGAATAGCGAAAAATAGCGAGGTATCGAAAATTACAGATAATTATCGAATGTTCGAGACACCACCAATTGGAAGGTAACACCGCCCAGTCAGTAGTTTTAAGTTTGAAAATACGGTTGAAAACTATGAAATTAAAAGCAATAAAAATTTTGATAGATAATTACCGTTCAAACAAGGTCTGTTGGCACAATCGTCTATGTCTAATTCGCATTTCGATCCACTGAATCCTGGTCTGCACAAACATTTCACAGTATTAGTGTCAATGTCCATATCACATGTGCCACCATTTAAGCAAGGATTGCTCTGTAAATTATTACACAATAACGAAACTTACTTTATCTAATTATTTATTTAGCGAACTCCAAAACTTACAGTGCATTTGGGATGAATTTTGAGTTCGTTTTCGCAATTCCTACCACTAAATCCAGGGGGGCATATGCACCTGTAATCGCCCATTGGATCAGTGATGCAGGTTGCTCCGTTCTTACACGTAGGCTTTCGACGCTCGCATGGGTTTCCCAAATCAATTTCACAATTTTTACCTACAAAAAATATAGAAACATTAAAGCTATAAAAGTTTTCAATTGGACATTTTCCTAAAATTAATAAAAACTGATATTTTTGTAGTCCTTTAGTCTTTGTATATTTTTCAAATCTATTTATTTTTGTAGTCCTTTAGTCTTTGTATATTTTTCAAATCTATTTATGTTCTGGACAATGATGTATACAGGGCATTTACGGTAATACCCGGCCAATAATGTCCCCGATATTTACGAAAATGACCATCAATTAGGAGCAATGTTGCAAAAGTAACTCTTCTATTGGCTTCATTGTTCAGATAACAACGTTATTGACCACATAATATCAGCAATGTAGAAATACAATAGCTAACTGCAGCAACAACAATATAACAACTAACATTTCCCCAATGTCTCTATTAACCGTTTTTAGTGAATTCTAACTTTCACATTAAATTTTAGAATCGAGACATTCAAACCAATCAGATTATTTTATAAAATAAAAATAAAAGAATCACAAAAAAGGGTTGAAAGCAAAACTTTGAATAAAAATATTAAGGAAGTACTCCTTCCTAAAGTTTTTTGAAAAAAAAACCGGATTTTTTTGATTATACAACTCTATATATATTTTTCCTATATAGAAGGATGTGATAAATAAGTGATTATCGCTGGGTGGCCATATTGTAATTGTCATTTTTTGAAATATTAATTCAGAAGTCATTTCTGTCAGTTCCACAAAATATCCCGTCAATTCTTATTACAAAATGGCAAAAGATGTTTAAGATAAGAAGGATAATATGTACTTTATTTCGTTGTATAATCTTTTGAATACAACTCGATGTTTCGAGATTACCTAATACTTTTGCCTGACACTCAATGCGATACCGGCAACAGTACTCCTCCTTCAGAGTCGTAGAGTTGCCGGGTAACGCATTTAGTGTCAGGTAAAAGTATTATTCGGTAATCCCGAAACATCTTGCGCTATTACATTAGAAAATCAATTTTATTTTTTCCTGTCATTACTTTTTAGAAAATCAAAAAAACGAAAATTACACATTCTCATAACCACTTTATTAGGGCTATCTGACAGTATTTTTAGATTTTCAAATTAGCTGATAATTTGAGACCAACTTAATTTTTTTAAATACGGACCTGCATTTTTTATTTCAGGTTTTGAAAGAACTCGGTCTCCTGAGTACAACGATATAGCACGCTTAATATTTTTGTTTTGTTTTAGGTTCCTTAACAATAACAAAACTATTTAAAATAATTTCAAGTCCAATTCTGTTTTTTTAAGTTATTTCGTCTGATTATATTCATCACAACAATATTGATCAGCGCTAATTAATATTGAATAAGAAAAATCGAGCCATTTGAAAGATTGTCAAATAAATAATGTCCAGAAAAAAATGTCTATACCTATGTGGCGGATTCATCTCTCCAAAAAAAATCCTATATGGAAAATTTTCTTCTGACAAGAAAACTTCTGACAAGTAATGTCCGTTTAGGTTTAACGCAGAAGTGTTTATAAAAAATAACTATTTTATTTTGTAGATTTTCTTGCAGTGCAGTGGCGAAATACCCATATAGGATTTTTTTGGAGAAATAATGTCCAGGTCAGGCAATTTAAAGATATTCTTTTTAACTTTTTTTATTGTAAATTTGAAATCTCAATGTCTAATCTAATCTAATAATATGCCATAATATTAATAGTAGCAATTATAAAAAAAATCAATTTTTACAAACTAGTTTCTAATGCTCTACATGTTCGAAAGGGTTACCACATTCCCTAATGCACATATTTCTTCTCTTATACTTCCGAATGCATTTTGTACTCTTTATTGTAAATGTTGAAATGTATTGATTTCACTTTTACAAATGAAGTAAAGTTATGAGCCCCCCCTTGGCGGATATATGATATAATTATCATATTTATATTATTTATTTTATTTAATTTTTTATTATTTTGTAGCTTTTGATTTTCCTTATTCAATATTTTAACTCACGTCATTGTTAAGTTTGAAAGCTTACAAACAAACAAAAATATATTAAGTGTGGCATATCATTGTACTCAGGAGACAGAGTTCTTTCAGATCGTCTCAGGTATCTCACAAATTATCAGCTAATTTGAAAATCTAAAAATACTATCAGATAGCCCTAATAAAGTGATGGCTATGAGAATGTGCAATTACTTTTTTGATTTTCTAAAAAGTAACGTCAGGAAAAAGTAAAATTGATTTACAAAAAAACCGTTTTTCTCAAAACACTCAGCAATCCTTGAAATTTTTTGGATAACAGGTTGGCAAAATCCCAAGGCGCAACTCTGCCCCAATTTAACCATCTTCGTATCTATTACGGTTTCCGAGATACCAATGCTCGTACCTCGAATTTGTAACACCCTGTATACATATACTTATTTTTGTTGTGGGGTATAAATTAATTTGGCGTTCACTTTTTTCAATAAAAATAAAAAAGACAGTTGCTGTATTCTAAAAATCCGTATTACCTGTATATCTTGGAAGACATGCACAAGTATACGTGTTGTGATTATGATCATTTATACATGTTCCATGCCTCATGCAAGGCTCATTGAGACAGTAGTCTAAACCAGTCATTTTCTCAACTGGAACACCTGTTTAATAATAATAGTAATATCAAATAATCAAATAAATAGTGTTTATTTAACTTACAGTTGTCTAATGGTATGGGACATTGTTCAAATATAACGTTGTGATACGACGAAATTAAGTTAGGCTCGAAAACTATACTGGGACCTTCCAATAGACATCCATTGAAATTTTTACCAATCAAGAGTACTGAAGCTCGTTCGTTGTATAACTTATTGCTGGTCAATAAGGCGTAGTTATGACTTGAGTTAGCTATGAGCTAGAAATAAGAATTATGTAGAAAAAATATCTAAATGAATATACAAGACTATGAATTGTATATTATAAACCTAATTACAATCACAGTATGTATTTAAACAAATAGTAATATATTTTAATTTTTTTTTTTAAATATAGTATTTATAAAGCAATTTTTGCAAGCTAAAGTTACAAGTAATCTGCAAAAAAAACGTTTCATGTAGAACTTTACTTACCTTAGAATCTCCATCTACGTCCATTGTTAAATTGCCCATTCTATATTGTAAATAGACTGTATGCCATTTGTTATTTAAAAAATTACCATATACCACTTCTTCATACAACATTCCGTCTAATTTTACCTTAAAATAAACACCCTTTGTATTGACTAGTACTTCTAAGGAATCTTCGTTTTGCTGTTGGGAGAATAGGCTCCCTCCTATTTGCAAAGAAAAATAAACTTAGCAATTAAATCAACGTATAAAGTGTACACCGGGTGTTTCTCAAAATTGGCTCACACCTATAACCATATAATTAATACTGGAGTATTAATTCTAGCCTATAACTTTTTAATTTTTTTAGATAAAAAAACAAGATTTGGTATGTTAGTATATGGCATAAATCGGAATTGATTGACATATATTCAAGTGTTCTCAGCTCAGTATACTTTTTTACTTTATTCAATAGAAAATGACACTCTGAACAGGATGCCACATCATATGTCAACAGTTTCGCATATGGTTTATTTGAAAATAATTGTAACATGGCGTTGTTGTCATAACGAAAATTTTACTAGAAATCGGCTACTCTGAAATTAATTTCGTCCAAGGCTCCTTGATTAAAAATTAGTGTTTTTAACACAGCCAGATGGCACCCTAGATTCAAATTTAAAAAGAACATGAAACAGGAAGTGACCGAAAACAATTGAATACGTTAATCAATAAATATTTATGTCATTTATTAACATACCAAATCTCGTTTTTTTATCTGAAAAAATAAAAGTTATAGGGGTGAGTCACTTTTGAGAAACACTCGGTATATTAACTAATTTAAAATATATATTTAAAAACAGCTTGATAATTAATTTGATATCAAATGAAACCAGACTAACACAAATCCATATAATACTATGTTGTTTTACAAAGAATATAGTCTGCCCAGATAGTAAATACAGGGTGTCCCAAACCAACCCCAGAAACACGCCTATGAGGTTTTTTTCGGGAAAATTTTTTTTTGAAAATTTCACACCTCTACTTTTCAACCAATAACATGCTTTAATGTTGACTAGTTACCATGGCAACTGAAAAAATTTCCGGAAATTTTTTCGAGGCGCCACGAAACTTTAGTGGAAATTTTTTGACAGTTGAAAAGGTAAACATAAGATCTACAATCATAATGTGAATGAACTACAATGTCTATATATTGAAATATTACCCATTTGAGTTTTAGCATTTGATGTAACTAAGGTTGGTAATATTTTTTATTTAAGGAAATATGTTAGATATACCTACATATGAATTTCTTCGAAATTGCCATGTTCTAAAAAATATAGTTCTGCCGCCTTTATTTAACTAAAGCTGGTATTTTTCTATTTAACGAAATATGATGGATATATCTATATGATTTTTTTAGAATTTATTTCATGTTGAATTATCTTCAATGCCAAATCTTTAATGATATCGACTAATATAGCAAAATAATAACGAAACACATTTAGTAATTATAGGTTTTATTAATATTAAAAACACAATTATTGTAAATGTTTGTAGGCTGGCTTGAATTGGTGGTTTGAATCTGGGTATTTTCTGTTTTATTTTGCATTGTGCTCTGATCATGATTGAACTGGCTAGTACTTGATGAAATGCTCCTCATGGATTCAATCATCTGTTGATGATGTTCAGCGTCCAACTGTAAGTAAGGTTTGATCGACTGACTATTACTATGTCCAGTAATTTTAATGAGCTGTTGTTCACCAACTCCTTTCTTGGCCAAATTCGAAACAGCTGTTGCTCTTGCAGAATGATTGGTTATTTTAACTTTTTTAGTGTCAATTCCTATATCTGAAGCTGCTGATTTAAACCATGAAGATACAATGTTCTTACCAACTGGGCTATTCTTGTACCATCCTTTCGAATTGGGTTGATTCCAGTATGGGTTTGGTGTTAAGAATAGTCTGTCGGTTTGAATAAGATTTCCCCTTTTTTCCATCAACTTTCTAAACAAGCGAACCGGACACATTTGTGGATTTTCGAAATTTCTAATCAACCATTTACTATCCGACAGTTTTTTAGAACCACCTTGTGTGGTTTTAGAGAAAATTGGATTATATTCTATCCGACCTTTTGGGTTTCCGAAATTATCAGTTTCTTCTTTGAAGTATTGGATACAAGCAGAATGTCCTTCCCCTCCTCTCCATGCCAGCTCATGTGAAACTATGTGAAAAAATTTACGCTGCAACCCATCTGGAGTATTTTCATCCCACATTTCAATAATTTTTTTGTATTCGTCACTGGTTAAGGCTGAAGCACTCACTTTTCTTTTTGCTGAATCTCTCTGTAGTATTTTGCGCTTAGCATCGCGTGCAGCTCTGGCGGTCACAAATTCCACATCAGAAAACGGATTAAATTTTATTTTATATTTTTCGTAATAAATTTCTTGCAACTGCTTAGCAGTAGAGTTCCACATCACTTTGACCACACTTTCCTTATAATCTTCAAAATTTTTCTTTTTCATATTAAATGCGTAGTCCTCCAGTATAGTAGCCAGCTGTACTACACTCATACACTCATGAATATTATACGACTTTTCATCACAAAATTCAACAAACTGTTTCCATACACTTGATTTTGATTTTCGGGTGTTATCTGGTTTTATATTTTCAATTTCTTCTTTAATGACTTGTTGGTTTACTTTTCCAAATCGCGACATTTCGCTATACACTTCTTACTCTACGTACAGACGTTTTAAAACTAGTAATAGCTTAATGAAGAATCGCAAACAAAATGACAAAACACATAATATGTCAAAAACATCAATACCTTGGCCAACTTAACAAATTGAAATTATTTTAAAATGTCATGTTGGATTAATATTTTTTTTTTCAAATTTAGGTGTGAAATTTTCTTACCGAATACCACGCAAGCTTAAATTATTCCTGGAAATTTTCTTTAGGGCACGAATATTTTAGGAAAATTATCCCTCGTCTTCGACTCGGGATAATTTTCAAAATATTCGTACCCTCAAAAAGATTTCCGAAAATATAATTTAAGCTCTTGTGATATTATAAGTGAAAATTCGGAATTTTTTGCAAATTTGTTTAGTTTTTATTTAAAAAAAAAAAATTTTATAATAATATGGTAACATAGGTAGTAGATTAAATTTACAAGAAAGAAAATCCAGAAAAGATCCAGTGTTTCTCAAAATTTGAACAAATAAAACATTTTCTTGGAAATTTTCAAAGTAAACTAATTCCGTTATTTTGGACTTATTTGAAAAACGATAAAGAGAAAATATGTTTCTTTTATCGAGATCTCCCACCCCTTAAAATAATTACACTTATTTCTGTATAGCCTATATAGTCTATACTATTCTGTATAGTCTTTCCAACGAGAAGATACATGGCAGTGACAGTTCTGTCTGTTATTTTAATTCACAGGTAAATTGTATTTCATCATTTTGGGATGTCGTCTGTCGAAAACTCCCGTGAATCATGACAGACAATTTTGATAAATGATATCCAAAAAGTGCCAGAAATACAATTTATTTTTGAACTAAAATTGCAGATAATAACTGTCACTGTCACTTATTCTATCACTGGACAAATTATACTGTTAAAGACTCCTGTATCTGTATAGTTTAATAACAAAAGGTTCAGAAATATATACAATAATATAAGACTGTGAACTTTTACATTACCATACTAAGCTTTTTATGAAAAATTTAAGATAAATTTATTGAATTTATTTTTAATTTGTCTAATTGTTAATTTTGTTCAAAAAGAGAATATCTCATTGTAGATTTATATATAATTAAAACCAGTTTTTAATTATGTTAATGTATTATTTACTTAGTAAATTTTATTTATCAGTTAGGTTGACGGTATAAATGCTATTTTGAAAAAGTAAGTACAGAATAATAATTATATTTTTATTTTATCGTGGAGTAAGATGAGTCAAATGTCCTTACTGTATGGTAATGCGTATTGTAACTCTTATTATACAAGAAACCATGATTTATTTATAAATATTAAGAGGAAAGATTCTTACCAAAGCATGTTCGAAAATTTAACCCTGTAAATCTCTTTAGTGATATAGTAGTTTGCAGTCTTAGGTAGGATGAGCCATTGAAGTATGCTTCTGATTGGTTCGACGGGCCAATGGCAGAAGCTTCATTTAAGCTGTCACATTCTGGTACATAACAAAAAGCTAGAAAAAAAACCTTTCTTTAATACGACTTCATAATTAGAGAAGGTTAATTTTAAAAAGCAAAAACAGCAAAATAAAACACTAAATCACTACAATACACCAAAACACTTTTACTTTTACATGTATTCAGTGTAAAAGTAAAAGTGTTTTGGTGTATTGTGGTGATTTAGTGTTTTATTTTGCTGTGTAACACCAAAGGTTCCAACCCCCAACTGTAATAAGGTTAATTTTATATTACTAATGTCACAACATATGCAAATTGGTACGCAGATATGTTTTTTAATATATTTAAATGATATTTAATAGAACACAGAGGGTATCTATGTATAGTCTGTCCACCAAAAGGATCCATAAGAGCGACAGTTGTGTCTGTCATTTTAATTCACAGGAAAACGTTATTTTCTGTCATTTATTGAATGTCATCATAGTTTTGATTTCAGGACAGATCTTGTATTTGTAATCATTTTTCAAGGAAGGTTGAAAATATACATTTTTTATTTATTTATTAATTAGTAGTAAAATTATATGGAAAACGTCATCGATCGTCATTTCATAGCCATCGCTGACGCCGTTTTTATTCGATCATACCGTACATTTACTCACATCTTAGTATTATGTAAAGTGATCTAAAACGAAGCCAAAAATGCAATAATATACAGAGTGTTCCATTTAAAAAAAATCATTCCGATTCACACTTAGAAGTTAAAATATTTTCCTGAAATTCATCCTCATACAATACTTTAGGTTTACACTTAAACAAACAAAAATTTTCAAGTTTTTTATTCTAGGAGCTACAGATGCCCGACGCACTATTGCCGGACCCTGTATAAAAAATCATCTTGATTTTATTCAGCATATATTTATTGGCCCTATACAGGGTGGTCTGAAATGTATTCGAGAAACTTTGGCAGCATATTCTGCAGATGAAAAGTTCGTAAAAATTCATGTCCTAAAATTCTTCGTTTCGGATATATATGGTGTAAAAATTTTTGACATGAGAAATTCGATTTCAATATTAGTTTAACACCTCCATTCAGGGTTGGAAAAAATCATGATTTTTTTAAAAAAATCAAAAAAATCAAAATATTTTTTTGATTTAAATCGGATTTTTTTATTTAAATCAGATTTTTTTGATTTTAATTCAAAATAATATTTAAATCGGATTTCCAAATGACTAGGACTTATTTCCAATTAAAGCCCTATCCTAAATGGCGAAATCTTTGTAACTCTGAGCGATACCGATAACATTAATAATTCTACGGCACGTGTCATTTTTCCACATCGGTCACCAATATATTCCGCAAAAAAAGTCGCTCGCTTCAGATCAAAAGGATTTTTTTTTCAAACGTCTCAAAAGTATTATTTTTTGTCATTTTAATAGTAAAGCACCGTTACGCCTAAGCACAAAAGTACAAAAATATATTATTAAACTGATATTAGGTGTCAAATTCAACGAGTGTACAAATCGTTTCTCGATTACTGTTTGTATTATTTGCAATGTTTGAAATTGATTAAAACATTTGTAATGTTTAAAAAAAAGTGTTTTATTCGGAGTAAAAATGTAATTTTTGTGCCTCCTTGTAACGTCGGAATAGCTTTACGATGGTCCTTAAAATGTATAGCATCGTCAAAAAAAGTATAATTTCTACTCTTAATAAAACAATACACTATTCTTCGGAAATAGTCTTAAGTCGAGAATGAAATTAGTATTATCTAATGCCAAAGTGTAAAGTACTTACTGCAAATCAAAATGTCGGTAAAAATTTGGAAACATACAACCGTTTTAAAAAAAATAAAACATTTTGTTTTCTGACAACGATTCTAGATTCTCGGGTATGAAGATATAGTCTCTATATCAGAAGAACCTATGTAGTTCTGTTCTGGTCTGCGAATGATATGTATTCGAACCGCGAATTTTTGTTACTTATACATAAATTTTAAAATAAATCCCTGCGTATAGCGGTCTTATGGATTCACACCAAATTACTTTAAAAATCGGTTCAACATTTAAATTGATGAATAGGTATTTTTATACAGTTTTATAAAATTTACAATTATTTTTCAATTTATTATCTGTTATATCTGTTATAGAAATATTTTTATAGCTTTCTAAGACAGATTTTTATAACTTTTACAGTTATTTTTTTATTTATTATAAAGTTTCAATAAAATTAATTTTTTGATTTAAATCACATGATTAAAATTAAAAAAATCACTTGATTTAAATCATTTGATTTAAATCATGCCAACCCTGCCTCCATTACATGTTTCTTACCTATGGAGTAATAACTTTTCGTCCATACCTGTATAAAACTACCGATAACAGCTTTCTTGGTAACAATCGTTACGAACAACCGTTCTTAAGGTATTTAGAATGGAAACAGTCAATACATTATAAAAAAAAAATATGTCGACAACATAGTGATTTCACTAAATTGATAAATTTGGGAACTTTTTTTTATTTTTCTACTATGTACTATCTTTCTATGAGTCTACTGACATTGAAATCAAATTTCTCACTCTCGGAAAACACCCAGACACCAATTTTCATTCAAATATGGAAGTTAGTTCAGAAATTATTTGGAAAAACAGTAAATAAAATTAAACTTGTACACCCTGTATCTCAGAAATAAATCATTTTAGAACATAAGATTATACGAATTTTATCACTTATTTTTATCTGTAGAATATATTGCTTGTGATATTGCCGAAGTTTCCCGAATACAATTCGGACCACCCTGTATATCAAATACAAACAAACTATTATATTGTTTTTAATTAGGTCGGAAAATAATTTCAGCCATAACATACCATAGTTATACCAAAAAGTTTGCAACAAATGGGAAAACTTTTTACTATCGAGTTTAAAAAAAATAGTAACATAAAAAGAAATGCTCAATAAAACTAAAATATTATAAAAACATATATATTAATTAAAACTTTAGAATATAATATACGTTATTTTCCCAATATCCTATAAATATAACGTGCATCCAGAAACATACACAACCAATAGATCTATAAGTAGAACAACAATATTGTCACAAAAAAAGGAATGAATACATTTATCTAACAGTAAATGATGTGCACTTGAAAAAAAAATATAAAATTAATCATGTCATAGTTTGGATTTCAAATGTTTTGCCCTCAGAGCGTCAATTTTAGCTGCAGCAGTCTGTTGCAGTTGAGTCAGTTTCATTGCCAAACCCATGTTGCCTTGAATCTTAACTTTTCCTTGGAAAAAGGCTCTTTGCGGCTGGATTTTTCCAGTAAGCAAGTCGAGCACGTCACCATCTTTTACTATAAACGTTACATCTGGTTTTACTTTTGAATTAAATTCAATTTTGCCCTTTCCTTCTTTGGCATTGATGACCCAAAAACCTTCTTCACCATTATCTTTAATAACCTAAAATACAGTTGGTTTTAATACTGTCGTAAAATAAGTCAATATAATCCCACAAGAATAAGTAAATATAGAAGTACTATGTCAAAAAGTTTGCATAAAATGCAATTTTTTTTCTATTGATTACAATTTTATTTATACAGAGTGTTCCTTAATGACATGATAATATTTAAGAGGGTGATTCTTGGGCGTATTTTAAGCAAAAAACTTCATATGAATGTATGTCCTAAACATCTTAACTTTTGAGATACAGGGTGGTACAACTTTTTTTAAAAAATATTTTTTCATAATTCTGATGATATTGTAATTATTTTTATGAAATTTCATACACGTCTTCCATGCTTAAAAATTATATTTATATATTATATTATGTATACAAAAAAAAAATTGTGTTGTATCTCTCAATTTCCATCCAGCCAACATTTTTAGCCATTTGACCCCGAAGTAAAATCAGTTTTATTTTTTTTAACCAAAAACTATGTGTCGGACAAAAAAATCAAGAGTAGAAAATTATTTAGAAATGAATGAATATTTTGAAAATAACTTTTATTCTAAAAGAAGTCAGTGGCGTACCATTTTTTCTTTCAAAAACATTCAATGCAAAACCCGTATGAACGCCACTGGTTGAAATGAATAAAATTCTTTGTAGATCAAAATAGGCATTTTGATGCATAAAAGACGTGTATTAAGATTCATAAAGATATCTATAATAAAATCAGAGTTATTATGAAATAAAGTTTTTTTAGAAAATTTTACCACCCTGTATCTCAAAAGTTAAGACGTTTTGGACACATATTCATATGAAGGTTTTTTTTAAGAATAGGTCCAGGACTCACCCCCTTAAATATTAGCATGTCATTAAGGAACACCCTGTATAGTAAAAACTTATCAAATAATATAAAATAACAACGCTAATATAATTAAAAAATAATATTGGAACTTTATTTCTGCATAAATAGAAACATTACTCTTGTATCAAGATCGTCTAGTTTACTTATTTCTCTGAAAGTAGGACATTACCTTTAAACCATATATTGCTCTATGTTTCTCAATTAACTTATCTTCATCTTCCAACATAGCTTGCTGTAAAATCTTTAAATATTCAGAAACTGTAAAGGAATCTTCTTTAGAACTACCACCAGAACTTGGTGGAGGTAAACTTTTGTTTCCTGGGAATCCCAACTGATAGAGAGCAACTACAACAGCTCCACCAAGCCCTATGTTGTGTTGGAGCGCTACCTTCGCGTTGGGCACCTAAAATATATTTTATAATTTAGATTTTGTGGTTAGACTGTATGATTCTGTAGCTTACTTGTCTTGGACCAGCTTCGCCCCTTAACTGCCAAGAAAGTTCAGCACATTGTGCTAAACCAGTGGCTCCCAAAGGATGACCTTTGGAAATTAAACCTCCTGAAGGATTTACCTAAAAAATAATGTATTTTTAAAAAAATAATGCATACACTCACCAGTACGAAAAACGGGCACCTTAAAATTTTCATGTATTTTGAAGTTTTATATATTGTGTTGTAGTGGACCGATTTTAATGATTTTTTAAGCAATTTGTAGCTAAATTCTTTGACTTTCTAGTGTCTCTTTCTAAATTAAAAATTTAAATTACCATCTGTCAATTATACAAGGGAAAAAAAACAAAATCATAATATTTTGGTGACAGTTTGAAACACCCTGTGGAGAACGTTAACAAAGCAAGGAATTTAAAAATCATTCTATCAGTATCTTTTCACGATAGTTTCTTTTTTGGTTCATCTCAATAGCTGTATTCCTTTTGGAGATATTCACTTTTGAAGAAGACACAACATTTTTTAGTATTTTTTACATCAAAACCATGCCTTTGCTTTTGGTCCTAGTCAACGTCCAATGGACCAGATGACTAGTGACTAAAGAATACAAGGATATGTAACGCCCATATACAGGCTGCAGCAGAATTTGTGATGTTAGACGCCATTCTTTGGTTGTAACGAATGATTCATCAGCTGGTCATCAGTGAAAATTTTAGCGATTTTTAATAGTTTGTGTGTCGTGAACTTTGCATAAACTTTATTACAATGGTGATTAGTTGTTCAGCTTTCAAATGTAAAAGCCACAGCGATAAAAAAACAGCTAGGAGTTACGTTTTATAGGTAAATAAACAGTCCACTCCACCGTTTTAGCGTTTTCTTATTGAATATGATAATTATTTTTCTGATATTATACCCTCCTGACAAGCGAAACCTTGGGTCGGCGTTTACGTGTAGAGGAGTGGCAATCTAGTAAGTCGAAGAGAGCAAAAATACGAAGTATTTATTACATAATCCCTTAATCTGGCGCTAGATTCCATGCGCTTGGGAAAATACTTGCCTTCTGTCTTTATTCAATACATATTATTTTACTAAGCGTGTTGACCGTACTCTTTGTACACACGAAAATCGGCACCCAAGACCAAAAATGCCGACCCTAGTATGTACTTAATATGTGCTATACGTCGATACTAGTTTTGTACCTTTTTATAAACATTTTAATACGTTTTTTTTGTAATTAATTAGTATGATACCACCGCGTACACCATAGACGTAGTCAAAACATTTATCAAAAATATAAATATCTCTTCAAGCAGCTAAGTTAAGAAAAATATGTGCCACGGCACTGTTTGATGGTATGGTAACAATTTGGTCTCGGGTGTTATTAGTCCTTGTATTCTTTAGTCATTGGTAATGTCACTGTCTTCGAAAAATCATATTATTATTGTCTCCTGAGCAGTTACTCCAACAGATATGGTTTTAAGTCCAAAAGTTGATCTCTACCATGATCAATTAAAGCAACAATAGCCGATACTTCAGTACTTAAAACCATATCTACTAGAGTAAATGTCAATAAACAATAATAATATGACTTATTAATGACCGTTACATTACAAAAATAATAAAAACACTATTTTATAAGTGTGTTGATGAGGACCCAAAATCAATGCTAAAACTGCGTTAAAATCGTTAATGTCTTATTCAAAAGCGAATATCTCCAATAAAAATAAAGCTAATGAGACAAATCAAAAAACAAACTATCAAGAAGAGATGTAGCTAGATAATAAAATGATTTTTAAATTCCTTGCTTTGTTAACATATTCCACAGGGTGTTTCAAACTTTTACCAAAATATCAACATTTTCTTTTCCCTCGTTTAATTAACAGATGGAAAGTTTCATTTTTTTCAGAAAAAGATACTAAAAAGTCAAATAATTTAGCTACAAATTTGATGTTAAAAAATCATCATAATCGGCCCACTAGAAAAAAATATATTAAACTTTAAAATACTTCAAAAATTTAAGTGTATATCTAATACAAAAAAAAAATATTTATTTCCAAAAAAATCTTAATACTTACAACATATTTTCCTCCATAAGTATTGTCTCCCCTGTCAATAAATTCACCAGCTTTTCCTGGAGGACACAATCCAAGAGCCTCATAAGTTAAAAGTTCATTTGCTGAAAAACAGTCGTGCAGCTCTACTACTTGTATGTCTCGTGGAGACTTGTTAGTTTTTTTATATAAACGGTCAGCAGCTAGTTTTGTCATGTCATAGCCTACAAGTTTTAGACTGCTTTTTTCTCTGAAAAAAATATTATAAATTAATAATTGTAAATTTATTTTTGGTAAAAAAATAGTTTACTTAAAAGTTGAGGGTAAATCAGTGGCCATTTCCATGCCTAATATTTCAACAGCTTTTGATTCAAGTTTATGAGCACGAACAAAAGCTTCTGATACAATTATTGCAGCTGCTGCACCATCACTTGTAGGACAGCACTGGAAGTTGACATATTAACTAAAATTATTTTTTAAAAAAATTAAAGATTCTTACTTGAAGTTTTGTCAATGGTCCATATACTTTAGGAGATTTTAATATTTGTTCTAAGGAATACTCATCCCTAAATTGAGACAAGGGATTATTAACAGAATGTTTATGATTCTTATATGCCACTTTAGCAAAATGTTCTGGCTTGGTACCATATTTCTTCATATGCTCTATCCCAGCATTACCAAACATTTGAGCAGTTATAGGTGAAGCATCTAAAATTTATGTCATTCAATATACTGAGTAATAAGAATGTGATTAACACCAACCAATATCGGCAATTTCAGACATAATTTCAACGTGTTTTTCCATCGGATTGGCTCTGTCTTGAAATACAGATCCCAAACTACCTCTTTGCATTTTTTCAAACCCTACAGCCAGAGCACATTGACATTTGCCACATTCTACCAGTTCCTTAGCCAGTAGCAATGCACTCGAACCAGTTGAACAGTTATTATTTACATTAAATATAGGAATACCTGTCATTCCTACCTCATAAATTACCTTGAAAAATACGGATTAAAATATGGGTAATAAAAAAGCCATAAATAAGTTAATTACTCGTTGGCCACTTGTTGAATCTCCATAAACAAAGCCGGCAGTAGCAAGTTCAACCTCTTCAATTCGGACTCCGGAGTCTTTTAAAGCTCCTAGAATGGCTTCTTTGCCCCAGTCAGGATAATCTCCGGGTTTAGTACCGGGCTTATCGAATTTGGTCATGCCAACACCGACAACAAACACTCGCACCATGTTGATAAGTTCTTTTGATTCTAAAATAAAAAAACTAACGTTAGAAACCTACAAATTGCAACGTATGCATATAATGCACTTTCAACTAAGGTATGATGGTAAGAACAGTTATTAGAACTCGATGACACTGCTTTCTCTGAGCATTTTATTTATTTTGCCAACTTCTTCAGTAAAAATAGGTTATAAAGTAAATATAATCGGAACTTCTGTACTTACCGTTTAAATAGAAGACCTAACACTCTCCAATTAGTTTTCTAAAACTTAACAAACGCACTTGGTTAATGCAAAAACGAAATTAATTAGTTTTGTTTAGTTCTTGAACCTCGTACCGTGCCTCCCCATTCAAGTTTCTGGAGTTTCTCGACATTTTCTACGTCTGACGGTGTTGCCTGTTCTCATTTAATTAAATCGTACCAAAAAATATTACAAAATTGCATAAATAATAATGTCCTTCACAAGAGGAAATGTCCTTTCAGCTAAATAAATGTGATTATAAAGTCTAATCCTTAAAAATCATTATTTATCACAAAAACGTTAAATAAACAATGAAAACTTGACAACGCTGCATTATGTTTTTAATGATTTTGTAAAATTCCATTCATTTCTTGTAAATTTTAATTTTATGATCAGGTACAAGGTGCTTTAATGAAGAATTTAACAACATAGCCAGGTAATTTGTGCAAATCCTAAATATGGTAAAGGGAAAAAATGGAAAAATATATTTAAAATGGGTGCCAATGTATTTCTGGTTGCCTATAATTTTAAACTTAATTTCTACAAATTCAATATTGGTTTTGTCTGTTGTCTCTGGTGTTACACAATACTTTCTAAATAGCAGAGATTCTAGGTTCTATTTGCGAGTACTAAACAACAGCTCTAGGCCCTGCGGCTACATGAAACATGCATAAAATACGCTCGTAGTAGCGGGTATTGTATAATTGACGCCGGTATAGATAAACAACAAACTACATCTATTATGTCGTAACATCCAAGTTCTTTCTCATGCTTAATTGCTGTGTCTGTATTTTCCGTTAAAAAATGAAACAAGGGTCATTGTTGAATGTAAACCACACCACGAATGAACTAAAATTCGTTTAAAAGAATTGTAGTAGCTTGTTTTTATTGGATGTAAGCAACGGTTTTTCTTTTCGCGTTATTCACGTTCGGTTTGATGTTAACGGCACGATTTTTTTACATGTTTTTGTTTATCTAACAGTGAAATTTTTCGTGATGTACTTATCACTTTTTGTCGAAAAAAATATCACGATATTTCTATTAGCAGGTGGTGAAAGTTTTAGACATCGCCTGATGCACCTGTTGATAAAAATAAATAAGCAGACAACCCGAAGGAAATTCGGAAAATAAATAAATTAGATTTGTCTAGAAAGCAAGATAAAAATATAAATTGGTTTTACAAATTGCAATTGATGTTTAGAATATTTAAATGAAGGAAAGGATGTTATTAGGATAATCGATGAAAAATGAGATTAAAAAAAAAATATATTAATAAAGGAGAACAAAAAACAAAAGCACTTAAATATAATTTCACTAATAATATTGAAATATTGTCGGAAATCTCTTAATGATTTAGATGATAGTCTTTTGAATAAATTTTCATTGGGCAAATTTTTATGAAAATTTAAGTAAAATAAGAAAAGGTAGAGGACATTATGCTTAAATATATTAATAACATAACAGAATTTAAAAATGCAATAATATATGCAGGGTCAGTAATTTTTCCGAAAAGCTCTAACAGTATGTCCCCGGATTGTCTCTATATAAGACGAAAAACTTTGAGATTGTACTAATATCCAGGTTATTCAAAATAAATCTTCTGCATATAGGGTGGCCCAGTGTTCCAAAACAAATTGAATATCAGCTTATCTAATGGTATTCAGAGATACCGTATGATCGGAAAAACGGCGTCCAGTTGACTTGGAAATGAACATCAATGACATTCCCCATATCATTGTACATATAAAATGACAGCGATCTTCATTTCATAGCCATCGCTAGCGCCTTTTTTTCGATCATACGGTATTTAGTGCGATAAAAAGTGAAGTTATATATTTTTTAACTTTGTGATCGTCTTAAGTATGTTTATTTTTATTTCACTTTCCGGCGGTTTAGGTAAAACTTTACAAGTCCCAGTCCTATGTACATTTAAATTTTCTTAGTACCTCCAATAAATAGCCTGCAGGTATCGTACTAAACAGCTCTAAAACCCTATACAGGCACAGACAAGATATTATTCATGGAACTAGAATTTTACAGTAAATCTACCGCAAAATAATACATTTCGTCAAAGTTTATTTAATTCTGTAAACTTTGATTTCGTTTAAAAAAAAGTCAAATTTAGTGTTAAAATGTATTTCTATCACTCTGTATGTAAATTGTAAATGAAAAATATTTTTGTGGATATTTTTAATAGGAAATTTCATATACAGTATGTCCCCCGATTGTCCCCGACATTTTCCTCTTTACAAGAGGAAAAACTTTTTTATTATTGAGATTTTGAGAAAAAATCATTATAAAAATGTTTGCTTGTTCTAAAATTGTTAAACCTGTTGATACTTTTCCGAATTTCCATACCGTTTTAGAGAAAATTAAAAAAAAACATGAAAATATAGTTGAATTTTTTCCAAAAGTCCTAAAAGTCAAAAGACGTTTCTAGGGTAATATAATTTCCATTTAATTCTTTGATAGATGGTTATAGTTAATTTTGATTAGCGTCATATTTTTTGCTGTTGTTAAAATATCACATTTTCCACACTATTATCATCCTTTTCGTAGCATTGAACTAAATAACAAAATCCATTTATTTTATATTGTTTCGTTTTAAATTTAAACATTAGGGTAACCGTAAATAGGGAAAAATAAAAAGCGTTAATATAGACGCGAATTAAACAATGAATTCAATGATTTTCGGCAATTTTACTATTACTTGTTTAAAAAATTAATCAATTAACCCGTCCCGTGACTGCATACCTATATGTTATTTTATATGACTTTTAATACTGGCTGAACACGAAAAAAAATTATGAAGGTTATCATTTCCTGGTTTCACAGAGACGTCTTTTTATCTGTAAAATGAAGAGGTTAGTCACTGAGAGCCGTTAGAATTAGCGAGACCTAGCTAAGACCTATTCGTGCTTCGTTACAGGACTGGGAAAATACAACAATAATTTGTCTTTGGTATATAAGTAGGTAAAATAAGTAGGTATAATATGAATAGGATCTAATTACATAATTTTGCGAAAGAAAAAAAAACCGACGACAATGGAAATGTAAAATTCCTTTGTATTTCAATCCTTCAACGTGAATTTGCAATTCACTTTAAAGTTAGATTTTAAACCGAGCTCTTATAGTCCAGGAGGTAGAGAAGATTTTCGGTACTTATTTTCCCAGTCAGCAAACACTGATAGAATTATTTGGTATCCTATTCTAAGCAAATTTCATATACATGGTGCTGCAAATTCGAGGTATGAGCATTGGTATCTCGGTAACCGTAATAGATACGAACATGGTTAAATTGGAGCAAAGTTGCGCTTTGGGATGTTTACCAACATGACATCAAAAAAGTTTTAAACATTTCAAGGATTGCTGAGTTTTTTGGAAAAAACGGATTTTTTTGAAAATCAATTTTAGTTTTTCCTGTCGTTACTTTTTAGAAAATCAAAAAACTAATTGCACATTCTAATAGCCATTTTATTAGGGCTATCTGATACTATTTTTAGATTTTACCCCGAATTTGTAGCACCCTGTATATGTAGGGGGGTATTCTGATGGGCTGGGGCGGAAAATGCATTATCAAATACAAATATACTGCACTTTTTTTCCAGCGATAAAAATGTTCTATTAGTGAGAGATGTTGTGCCCCAGTTAAGAAAAAAAAATAGTCCAGCTAATCTGTGAGAATGGGTAATAAATAGCCTTTAATAGGTACGTCTAGCAGGTGAAAAATTGGAAAAATAATTATTGAAACCATTACCCTTATTTTTGCAGTCCTAAAAATTTGCCATATGATAGTTTATATTTATATTATAATTTTAGTTTCGGAGATACAGGGTGTAGAAGTTTCATTTTTATTTCATTTTTTTTCCAAATAATTTCTGAAGTAACGTTAATATTTGGATGAAAATTGTTGTCTAGGAGTTTTTTGACATGACAAATTTGATTTTGATGTCAATATGACTGCTACTTGTAGGGGGCGCCATCTACATGTGTTTTAACTGTTTTGAAGAGATTTTTTCCAAATAATTTCTGAAGTAACGTCAATATATGGATGAAAATTGGTGTCTGGTAGTTTTTTGACATGAGAGTAAGAAATTTGATTTTGATGTCAATATGAGGGTGCATGTGTTTTAACTGTTTTGAAGAGTAATAACTTTTTGTCCGTACCTGTATAAAACTATTGAGTGAAAAAATATACATTTTTGTGATTTTTTACGTAAAAAACGTCTCTTGGTAAAAATCGCTACGAGCAACCCTTCTCAAGATATTTAGAATGGAAATAGTGAATACATATCGTTATTGACAAAAAATAAACATGTTGAGTAGATATAGTTATGCGACAGAAATGGTAAATGTGGGAACTATATTTTTTTAAATTAATCATAAATTTTTCTTCGAAAAAATGATAATAAAGCAGTTTCTGTTGAACTTTTGGCACAAAACCATTTAAAATTTATGATTTCTCAACATGTTTAATTTATGTCAATGATGACAGGTATTGATAATTTCGATTCCAAATATCTCGAGAACCGTCACGCGTAGCGATTTTTACCAAGAGACCTTTTTTACGTAAAAAACGTCGCAAATGTATATTTTATTACACAGTAGTTTTATAAAGGTACTGACAAAAAGATATTACTCTTCAAACCAGTTAAAAAATATGTGTGGCGCCTGTAGGAGTAGGAGTGACGGATGAAGTAGGAGTCATATCGACATCAAAATCAAATTTCCCAGGAACGAGAAAATCGAAATAAAAATGAAACTTCTACACCCTGTATCTCCGAAACTAAGCATTTTAGGACATATATTTATAGAACTTTTTTACTTATTTTTATCTGCAGAATATGCTGCCGAAGTTTCCGGAAAACAGTTCCGACCACCCTGTATATTCACACTGGGAAAATAAGTTAAAAAAAAATTCACTGCCTCCTGGACTATATGATTTATATGATTTGCTTCAATAAAAAATGCCGTTTAAGATACACCAGTGCCTTCTATTATTTATTATATTACTTTAAAGATCAGCCTAGGGGTGGCTATTGTTTACTTCATCAGCTGTACATACTTAGATATTGGCAGAGATATTGGGTTAGATTCCGTTTCAATATTTTGTTGGTTGATTTTTGGTTTTAACTCTTTGATTTTTGGTATTATTTATTATTGTAG